TGAAGCATTCTGAGCGCTGCGCTAAAAAAGTATTTTCGAAACCAAACAATTCCATGCCAGAGAGGGAGACCCACGTCTCGGCACTAAATCATCTGTACCGGTAGCTTCAGGGACTGGAGGTGCTTGCATTTTCTCTCTACCATCACACTGCGCGGCTAAACTTTTGCAAGGAGGATGCTAGCGAGAGGTCATGTGATCACGTAGGCCCACTAGTCGTTTGACTGAATCCTGCCATGCTGTAGAGAGCGTTGCTGCATCGTGTATTAAGTGGATGTGAGGAGTTTCAGCATGCTTTCAATATTTTTGGCGAATGGAAATTTGCACATCGTCAAAACAACAATGACGATATTATCGCAAACAACATATATCGCCCACCTCTAGATGAGACTTTCTTTTTCTCTTTTTATGTCAGTTATTAGTAGAGAAGGATGAATGGGGCAACATGAAGTTTGTTTACAACACTGATAACACTGCTGTTTGTGAGCAAAGTTTCAACCCAGTCTCTCTCAGAAGTTATTGGTCAATCACATGTTCAAGTACAAAACAAGTGCTTTGTGCTTTGCACTAAAACCTAGTGTGTCAGATGGCAACAGTTGCTGCTGCTGCCAGACCTGTTTCCTCATACACTTTTCCCTGTACAACGTCCATGAAAAAGTAACTGTTTTATATAATTTAATAACCAAATAACCAGGAAGCAGTCACGTATAGTTTGTTTACCAGAGAGAGACGCAGCTAAAGACACGCCCGGGATGTAAGATTGTATCGGTTGGCAGTCTCACAACAATGTGAGGCACTGATATAGGGACTTCCTCAACATTAAGCTAAATAGTCCAGTTTTAAAGGTGGTGTACATGCCTATAGAATACTTTTTTTCTATAATATTGTAAAAGGTGCCTTTAAGTTTTAACAAAGTCCTTTTTTGGTTAGATATCTGTATACTCCACAACAGTTCAGAGGGACATATTGTTCTTCTTTCTCCACTACATTTACCTGACAGCTGGAGTTACTAAGTTTAGTTACTTCACAGATGAAACTTTTAGAAACAAGACATGATTACTTCATAAAATATGATATATGCTAAGACCATCACACATTATATAAAGTAGTAAGTGAAAGAGATAGAGAGAGATAGAGAGAGAGAGAGAATATGCAAACTATTCTGCCAAATAAGTGCTTTAACTTTCATACTTAAAGTGCCCTTTTGCTTCTATTTTGTTTGTTTTTTAATTTAATTTAAGTGAAATCTTGACTGTAACAGAGTTTTTTACTAGTATTTCTTCCCCCACTGACAACAGCTGATTTTACTTTACAGCAAACTACTGCAGATTCACTCTGGTGCGGTGATTGAAAACTGGGATTGTATTTGTCTTTCTCAGTAGCTACTATTTACATATTCATTGGATATATGGGGGTCTAGTTTTACTTTCACGCCGACATTTTCAAGAAATTCGCCGAGACCTACTTCATAACTTTATCTTTGGTAGCACTGATAGGAGTTAGGAAAACGAAACTTAGATGTGTTGATGCGTTCAGGAGCCAAATGCAGAAACACTGAACTGCGTCCGATTCTGGACCGTCCAGCGTTTTCATATAAAAGTATATATCGACAGTTAAAATCATTTTTATAAATAATAATAAACAGGAATCGATGTATGGCCTACCTCTCTGATATTTGAAAGCAACGCTGTAGATTTGATCACGCACTCTCCTCAGCGGTCCGCAGTCTCCTCCGCCGGATCTGCGCCGAATGCGGAAATATTTCTCTATTCTGTGAAGCTGCTCCTCCAGCAGGCCGTCGCACTCAAAGTAAACGGGGTATTGGTCATTCTCAGCCATGGCGAAGAGATAAAGAAAGCCAACATCTGCAGTGTGCAGTTTCTAAAGAGCGTTCAAGTGCGTGTGTGTGTGTACTGTCTGTGTTGGCGTCTGCTGGCCGAGCCGCGCAGGGGCAGACTACAGGGGAAGTCAGCTGTCACCATGGTGACTGTTGGGCGGGGAGGTAAACAGCAGTAGCCTGTTATATTACTGCCGAGCCTGAAATAGAAGAGAAAACAACACTGACTGACTCCAAGTGATTAAAAATAACACACAGTTAATAAACTCGAACCTTTCTGTTTTGTACGGAGCCCCTAAAGTCCCCAAAAGGAAATCTTTTTTATTTTACAAGATGATAACTTGTGTGCACAAGATACTTTTTTTTTTTTTTTTACCTTTTGGGACCTTTTAAATAACATAGCGAATTGACTGCAAATGCAAAAAAAATAAAGCAATGAACACAGCAATGTTTCAAACATAGTGGAGAAATCAGCAAACATATGCCTATAAAGATATTAATGCAACTTACCCCCTGTGCCCAAGATAAGTAACTTGTGCCCATAAAATTATAACTTGTGCACACAAGATTAAAAAAAAAAATTACCTTTTGGGACTTAGTTTTGGTATTACTTCTTAATTTTCTGTGGTCCCACAAACCTCCACTGCTGTATGTGTAAAAATAAATAAAATACTTGCAAAATGAACCAACTTGTTCCCTTTAAATATTAGTTTTTCTTTTAGTTTCACCTTATTAAAAGACAATATGTGGATGAGTACTGACGTGGTAACCCATCCCTCCCACATCAACAAGTTGACCAAATAGGCTGCAGTAACCACCATGAAGCAAGATGTTTTTTATGATGATGTTATTATAACAAATAAGGAAATATTAGTGTTTTGTGTCCCACATGGGCTGTGCATGAAGAAAAAAGTATTGCTTTCGTTTGTCAAAGTCATTCACAGACAAAGAAATGTGCAGTATGGGCCTACATGTCGATGTTACTTACGTTTAGGGTCAATTAAACTCCACACTCTAATGAACAACACTTACAAAAGTCCAATAACAGAAATGCTAGTACTTTAGGATTTTAAAGGGGTAGTGCTGAGTAAGAAGAACTGTCGGCATAACCGTGTTTAATAGCTAACCCAAACAGATGTAATGCTTCATTTTCTGCAGCAGGCTTCTGAAACATGTTATCAGTTCAAAAATTCTGTTTGAAAGCTATTCTCATAAAATTTGAAAATGTTATAGAGGTAGCTATAGATGGGATCAAAATGTGTTAAGCATGTTTTATGAGGTGTTAAAGAAGGCTTAGAGTTATGTCGTTTGAGCAGATAGATAGGTTGCATACACTTCTTGAAAACAGAACCCCAGTTAACCCAGGAAAGAAGTGTACTATCTAAGAATACTGCTAGGTCATTGGTTTCCACTGATTGTGACGGGTCAAGTGGCAAAGTCTTGTTACAGAGCAGCAAATCACTTGTTTTTGTTTTATGAGAGTTAAGCTGGAGGAACTTTGATCACACTAAATACTTACAGAGCAGTCATGGTTCAGGTATGCTCCTTCCTTAGTCACATCAGCTTTATACAAAGGGAAGATCCCCTGCATAGTTCTCTAAACCAGTTTGCATGACATTCATTTGTGAAGAAAATAAACGTGTGACCTTATGTGGCCTGTTCTTCTTTTCTTCGTAATATAATACCATAGACTCAAGAAAATATCGGCTCTCAGAGCAATGAAAGTTGAACTAAAATATAAAAACAAAACTATTAGTGTATGGGTTGCTGCATGGTAAGGGCAGCGTCCTCTGTGACTCTGCAGCTTTTATAAACGAACGGAAGTGGAATGAGTTTTGTGGAAATAGAAGCAGTTTACAGCGACTTTCTCTATTTAATCACAGAGACAAAAAGTAGGTGTGACAGGTCTAACAGAAAAGTTGTTCCTTTTTTTTTGGAGGGGACTGGAAAAATGTGAGACAGTTTTCTTCCTTTCAAACCATCAAAATCTGGATGATTGTACAGATGTTGTAGTGGAGCCTTTCTTTGACAAATATATACCTAATGTTTTAAATGGGACTGATCATTTTCTATGAATGGACTGAAGAGTAGTATTACTGTAAAAAAAAAAGCAGCTTTTTATATATGTCAAAATAGTGGAGAAACAGCAAATATTTCAGTCCATGTGACCTTTCTTTTACACTGAAGCAAACGGATTAGCCAGAACATGTCTAAAATGTCTAGTCTATATTGCCCAGTTCCTGGCTGTTTGTGTGGTGACGTTACAGGTAGATCCTTGAACCTGGGCAGTGACTCATATCCGAGTTGTTTACCTACTTGGGGATAGGAGGAAGTGGGAACAGCCTGCCCTCCAGTGTCCATGGTACAGTGGATTCAAACACATTCTTTAGGTGATCTAAAATCTTACTTATTTACATCAATGAGGGTTGAGTAAATAATAGAAACACCTCTCAGTGTCACATAATACAGCTAAAACGGCACCACAAACTACAGCTTCCAGACCATACAGTTCAATCACCACCTCTTCATGAAGGTGGGATTCATTGCAGGACTGTTCTTATTAGACTGCATTCATTTTAGCTGTAGGTGTAAACTGGAAACCGAGTGCATATGAACACAGGGAGGGTGAGTAAAATGAGAAATGAAGAGCAGAGGTCACACTCCTGTGTTGCCATGCATCCACCCAGCTAATGTTTCAGACAGGTGTTCACTATACTATACTATACTATACTATATATACACACCACTACATTATTATTATTATTATTATTAGCTGTCGGAGTGCTGGGCTGTAGTTCACAGTGACCCCTGACCTCTCTGTGTGCCCAAAACCAGGGCAGTCAGTCTAGTTATCGGTCTTCCAGTTTGAACCGTTGTCTAGTAAGAATGACCCTATTTAATGGACTCAGATTGTCTCACAATTAAACATACTATCAGTAAGAATAAGGACTGACCAAAACAATTATTTTGCCATCTAAGACACTATGATGAATGACACAGGAAGTTCCTCCAGATACCACAAAATTGTAACATTGCTACGAAGACACTAAAGCTACTAAAGATATTAAAGAAAAACTAATTAAATTTGATATTTAATAAAACACTTTTCTGTTTAGACTCCTCTGCCGAGAGACAAATGAAAGTCAGAAACAATGGGCTGCGTGTACACATTTATTTATTAATTTATTTTTTCTGAAAATAATCTAAATCATCCAAAACAGACTCTTCTGCATATAAAATGCTCCAATGTGGTGAACAATGTAAATAACTCAAAATAAACGTGTGTCAACAAACAAACCAAACAGTCGTAGTATCATTTCTGAGCAACCTTTTTATGCAAATAATTATTCCAAAAAGTTAGTTACCCGAATGGAACAAATGGAAAAAATAATACTCTTGAGACACATTTTAAAACATTAAAAGTAATTATTAAGACGACCCTTTGTCACAGACTCATCAATGCAAAATATCTGAAAATCCCTGGAATATCTGGAAAAGCCAAAGCATTTAACAAAACATCTTAAAACGGGTTGTTTCTCAACGTCTCATCAAAATAGTAGCCAGTATTTTTTGTAGCATTTCAGCACTAACTAGAGAATATATACTACAGAATATATTACAGAAAAAAAATGTCTCTTTCATATGGTATCCAGTTATATTGGAGGGCCTATTACAGCCTGATCAACAGTGGCACACATTAACCTGACTCTCAACTGCACCACTTCTTATAATTTCGAAACTGAGTCATACGATCTGCTGATGTCCTTTTAAGACACATTACCGCCTACCTCCGACGTACCTCCCAATGCTCTCTGCACAACCCCTGCCTGACATCTGTACACCTGTCTGACATCTGTACACCTGTCTGAATGGAGGAGAATAACAGTTCTAACAGCTTTCATTCGTCAGGACAGCAATCTGATGGAAGAACGAAGCAGAAAGAAAAACATTAACTTTCTAATATTCAGTTTGTTATTAATGAAATGGTATATTGTGAAACAGCAGCAATTTTGAAGAATTTAAAATTGTTGTAACAGTGTTTTAGTCATCAATTTCTCACAGTTTCACACACACACAGTTTCAACCCAAAAACCATGATCTTTTCCTAACCAAGTACTTTTAGTGCTTAAACCTAACCAGACCTTAAGCACAGCGCTGTCACACCAGATGTTAAAAAAAAGGGCAAAAGAAAACAGAAGTACTTTAAATCAGTAACCAATCGAGCCTAACCATAAACAAATAAATGGCTGTGTGTCATTATTGGTTATCAGACACTGATAATGTTTATTAACCTCATCACTGAGGTCTTTAGCAAATCATCATGGAGGAGCATTATCTACACACATTTATTCACTTTACACAGAGCTAAAATTAAAACCAATTTATGTGAAATGTTCGTCGAATGAATTGGGGTCTGTTAATGAGTAGTAGGAAACCATAAATTATCTTTAAAAAAAAAAAAAAAAAAAAAAAAGGTGCTCGGTTCTGTTTAACACTAGGTAAACAGTGCAAAGCAAGCTGATTGATAACACACCCTATATTTACTTTTGCACACTCTGTGGTGTGGAATCAAATGTTTTTACTCACGCTGTAAGAACTCCTTCCTGGTCTTTGGCACAGGCGGCAGCAGAACATCTATAGTAAAACATCCTAAATACCACTAGATTTGAATAAAACCGCTGTATAACTCTGGATTTTGATATTTCTATCAAGTACCTGAGGCGGAGATCCTGGGCCGGTTGTCATACACGAGGCGCTTTATGTCGTCCCTCAGCTTTGACACAGAGTCAGTCACAGTTTTGAACGAACGTTTGGGACAAACAACAGGATCAGGAAGCCAGTCTGGAGAGTCACGGGAGGTGGAGAGGGACTGGAAAGTCTGGGAAAAATAATACTTGTGAGCATAATATTTACTGTATATAAAAACACATACAATGTACTGTACTTTATGTCAGTTACGTTAAACTTGATGAACTAATACGGTCAGCCAATGTTACTTTTCGGCAGTGCATTCTCAGATGGGCTTCGTTGCTGAGATTTGTATGCTTTAAGCTTCCACAGTTACAGACTGAGAGTGCGTTGGCTAAAGAGCACAGATTATTCAGTCAGGTGGAAGTGATATAAAATAAAAAAATACACAAAGTGATGGACAAAAAACAACAACCTACAAATAAACTGTGGTACCTGAATGAAATGGATGTGGTCGTCCGTATGAGAAAGCTGTTCCAGTTCGGTGTGTCTCCTCCTCAGCTTGGTGAGCTCCTCCTTCAGCTGCAGCTGCAGCTTTTTAGAGCGAGCGACCGCCCTCTTCTCCCGGGCATTGATCAGCTGCTTCGCCACAGTGCGTTCTCTCTTTAATGAGGAGATCATCTCATCAAAGAGCTTATCACTGGTCTGCACTGCAGCCTGGCTACAACTCTGAAAAGACAAAATATATCACATGCTGTCACTCTCAAACTGATTGACTGCTCTTAATACAGGCAGTAATATTAAATAATAACTCAGTCTAAAGATATTCAACCTTTCTGATACTGCTCCACGATATCAAAACCTGGACAAGCTCAAATACTGCAGTCTAATATCGCACCTTGAGATACTTCAGATCTTGGACCAGCTCAGTCAGCTCCTTTTCTCTCTCCTGGAATCTCACTTCGACTTTCCTCTGACTCGCGATCAGCTGCTTCTGTAAGAAATGCAGCAAAGGCCTTGTTGTGGATGGTTTTATTAATACAATTACTACCTTTTCTATTATATCAAATCACATCTGATCTACAGTGTACAAGTGGTCATAATAATTTGACTCTAAAAAGTAAGAAATCTGTCAATGTGTTGGGCTGCAGACCTTTCTACAGTTTCGTGTGCCCTAGTTCTGCTCTGTTTTTGTTCCTACCTGTTCCTCAGCCCTCCCTGCTGCCACTGACACCATACAGTGGCTCTTGTGCCTATGGATAGCGCACAGATAGCAGATGCACTTCTGGTCTGTCTGGCAGTAGACCTCCAACAGCTTGTTGTGCTTCGTGCACATCTTTTGCTGCAGCGGGACTGTGGCCGAAACCAGCCGGTGCTTCTTCAACACAGGAACGCTGGAGTGAGGCTCCAGGTGAGCCGGACAGTAAGAGGCCAAACACGTCAGGCAAGACATCGTGGCTTTGTTGGGAGCGGTCCCACAGCAGAAATCACAGGCAACATCTGGTTGGCTGGCACGGGACACAGCAGCGGGGGGAGAAGCCTGCTGGGTTCTTGTTTTCTTTAGCTTCTTAACAAGCTGGGGAGAATAAAAAAGATGCACATATCTATAGACAATGATTGTGATTGCCTGAGGATAGCCATACTTTTTGAAAGGAGCCTAATTCGTAGGAATATTAGGGCTTTGCACAACTATATTAGTTGACTCAAGACTACTTTAAATTTATTTAAATGTTCAATATTAAATTTCTGCGGCTAGTCTCTCACACCCGAAGTAACAAAAGTTGCCGTCAGATTCTCCGTAGGTCTCCTGATAAAAACCAGTACATTTAACAATAAAAAAAAAAATTAAAATCTGAGATCTAATTAATAATTTTGGTTGTAAATTCTCACATAAAACATATTGTAACATTCTGTGTTTGGACAGTTTAGGTCCAAAATACTGACACCACAGTATTGTATTTTGATACTAATCATTTTAAAATAAGTTATAGTTAAACTATACACATATTTGGCTCAAACCTGTACTGTAACATCCACACTGTTTCTACCTCCTCTAGTACCATCACCTCAGCCAGCGTGCTGTTCCTCCTCAGGACAGGCCTCGGACTGAAGCTCTTCCTGCACAGAGGGCAGCTGTACTTCCCCCTCTCCTCTCTCCGATCCCAGCAAGCCTCAATACAGCTTTTGCAGTAGTCGTGTCCACAAGGAATGGTGACCGGCTCTCTTAACAGGTCCAGACACACTGGACACACCCAATTTGAATGCAACTCCATGCCGCGCTCCTTCTGTTGCCTGGTTCGAGAAAAGCCACTCACAGCTTTCCTTCCTCTCGAGGGGTTTTTGGCGGTTTTACGCACACGTGTTCGCGTGTCCCTAACTTGCCTCTGATTGGCTGGTACTCGTTGTCTTCGTTTGGTTGGGTTTCAGGGTGAATTCAGTAAAAGTGGGACATTTGAGTACTGTCTTGTTTTGAATTAAAATGTAGCCGCAGCACTTCATTTTTATCCGCTCGACATCATCAATGTAAGAGTGGTTTAAAGTCTAAGAAAGGGGAAAATTAACCGGCAAATTAATTGGACCATAAAAAGCTTAATAACGACATTATCTGTATAAACTGTGCCTAGAACATATTGTAACGCTGGTTACTCTTAGCGTTAACTATAACTTGATAGTTACTATATTAACTACCTTTTTGGGTCGTGGGTAAGGCAGGAGCACGGGGACAACTTCATCTTGGTTACTCGATCCACTTTAATGTCCGTTTTAACAGTAGGACAACTGAACACTACTTTTCATCATATCACTCCGCCAGTCTTAACCATTGGTAACATTCCAGGTAACATGCACCTTATGTAGTTCCTCATCTACATTGCAGAACAGAATACAAATATGCTTATAGGTAATTACTCTTAATTAATTTATGCGAATTCAATAAACATAGTAAAGTAATTCACAAAATAAATCTCATTTTACAATATGTAGGAGCTCTACATTCAACACTACATGTTACACGTCCATGTAATGTGAACAAATTATGGAAGAAATGGGGCTACTGTTGGGTTTGAGTCTATAACTATTACATTTATCTCAAATTATCTTCAAAATTTAACACGAGCATGTTGATAGTTGCGCCATTTCATAAATGAATGAAGAGAGTGAATATATGCTATAGTGGTGCCCCAGCACATTCCCCCAAACAAGTAGTCCACTTTTGCCAAACCAACCCTACCTGTACCCAGTAATATCTAATATAAAATATACACTGCAGGAGTGCTGGGCTCTAACTGTGACCCCTGACCTCTCTGTGGAGAAGGCAAAGACTGTTCCAGCTGCCAGTTATCTGTCTTCTACTTTGTACTGTTGCCTGAAAGTCTAGTAAGAATTATTAGCCTTTTTATTGGTCTCAGATTGTCTCACAAGTAAACATAGTATCAGTAACAGTTAAGGACTGACCAAAACAATTATTTTCTATTATCTTAAACACACATGTAGTTCCCTACATAGAACAATGTGATTTAATGATTTAAGACACAGCAAGTTTCCCCAGACACCATAACATTTTAACACTGATGAAGAAGACACAAAAGATCATGTAGATTCATTTATTAATTTTGATTTTTAAATACAGACAAGAAAAACAGAGTTTAGACCCATCTGCATATAATCTACCATATAGAATATCTGCCACAAGACAAATGAAAATCAATCAAATAGGCTGTGTGTATGCATCTTTTTATTCATTTTTTGTCTTCACAAAATAATTAAAATAATCCAAACAGACAATAGAGAACATGAACACAAAATAAACACGACAAATAAACATGTATCACATGTCTGCTCTGCATAACCAAACAGTGGTAGTATGGAAAATTAACATAGCGGACTAAATACACAGTGTCGCCATTTCTGAGCATCCTTTTAATGCCAATAATTATTCCAAACTGGTGGTGATCCAAAAGGAACAAATGAAAGCAGAGCATTTTAAAAAAAAACTGGCTATAATACTCTGAGAAACATTTTAAACAGCGTGTTTTAACACATTTTTCAAAAGTCATTATTTGACAAACCCTCAGCACAGACACGTAGCACCTATGGAAAAATATCTGGAACCCCAACGAGCACTGGGTTTGTTTTAACTGGCTTTAAACACCGAACGCCCTCTACCCTTCTACCTTAACTGTTCTAACTGTTACATAATTAGGAAAACACTCAAATGGGCTTTTGAAGAATGTTACTTAAAGTGCTAGTTTGAAGTTGCAGAAATTGAATATTTTCTTCTTTACAAATCCTCATGTAAATAGTAGCCAGCGGTTCTCACACTATTTCTTGTTAGTGCAGAAAAGCTATGGATAAAAGTCTCTGCAACGAAAAGAAAGCACTCGAAATGTTGTCAGAAAGTTAACAGGATCTTAGAAATTGGGTGAGGACTGATTCAGTCTTCATTCACTATTAGTAAAATCACATCCTCTCATCTAGATCATATGGTATCCAATTATAATTGAGGGCCAATTACAGCTTGTTCAACAGTGGCACACATTCACCTCTCCAGTATTTTATCACCATAACTTTATCAGTTCTGCCCAAGAGTTACCGTAGATCAGCTTAAGGCCAGGATAGAGAGGCTGACTGAACGTGGCGTGTACTTTGTGGAGGAGAGTCATCTTGTCAGAGACGCTATAAAAGGACAGAATACCCGCCTTATGATCCAGGTACACTCCGATCCTGGAGGATTGAGGGCCTAACAAGGTTACGCTGTTCCTGTTGTGTTGGAAAGAGTAACCGAACTGGAAGCACTCAAAACTCCACGACTTGTCATTATTTCCGAACTCTGACTCACGTGAGTATGATCTGCTGATGTCTTTGTATGACACCGCCACGGACAAATTAGAACCGCTCCAACTGACCTCCCAGTAACAACGCTCCGTCAGGCCCTCTGTGCACAACACCTGCATGGCATTTGTAAACCTTTCTGAGTGAGCAGAGCAATATAGCGCAAGGTCTTCTCTCGTCACTCGCCGGGACTCTTGTGAAATGGACAAATAGTTGTTGGCTGAGTTCTCATTCAGAGTCAGGGGACAACAGTCTGATGGAAGGAAAAAAAAAAAAAATCAGGAAAAAGAGGGCAACATTAACATCAGATTCTGTTTATTATTAATAAAATGGTATATTGTGGAACTGCATAGAATCAAATGTTTTACTCACAGCGTAAAAACTGTTCTCTGGTCTTTGGCACCGGTGGCAGGACAACATCTATAGTAGACACTAACAAAAAAATGTAATCATAAATACCACTGGGCATGAATATTAATTTAGAATAATAACTCTGGATTTGTATTTCTATAAAAAAGGTACCTGTGGCAGAGACTGTGCGCCATGTGTCATTCATGAGACGCTCTATGTCATCCCTCAGCTTAGACACCAAGTCAGTGACGGTTTTGAACCAACGTTCAGGACGAACAACCAGATCAGGAGGCAAGTCTGGAGATTCACAGGAGGTGGAGAGGGACTGGAAAGTCTGAGATGAGGAGAAACACAGAGAGCGAGACCAGAGAAATAGTCATAGGTATAATATTTATTGTGTCCAAACACATTCTATGAACTATGGTTGATGTCAATTCCATTAAAAAAACAATGTGACAATGCTATGTGCACTTTGTCTACATTTGTCCAACTTTTCAGTCCAAAGAATAGGGATAAGAGTGAAGTTGTAAGAAATATCCAACTTGATATTTTAATGTTCATCATTTGCTCCACTGCTAAATTTGGCCAGCAGATGTCGCTATGAGGCAATAAATTCAGCTGTGTTTTGTTGCTGAGTTTTGCATGTTTAAAAAAAAAAAAGGTCCAGTGTGTCAGATTTAGGGAGTTCTATTTAAATAAAAAATAAGGCAAAAATGGAATATGATATACATACGTATATTTTCATTAGTGTTTCTGTTACATTTGAATGAGCTGCTTTATCTATAGATGGCGCAAGTCCTCTTCCACAGAGTGTGCCATGTTGAACACCTTTGTATCCTACAGTAACCCAGAATGGACAAACCCAACACCGGCTCTAATAGGGGTCTTTGGGTTTTTTGTGCATTTCACAGCCACCATAGTTTTCTCTGTTGCACTTGGTAAGGTAGGGTGGGATGATGCCACTAAATCCTACACACTGATCCTTAAAGCTTCTACAGTTAGTGCTTTGAACCTACTGTATGAATTATTCCATCATGTGAAACAGACATAGCATGACAAAGTGACGGACATACAAAAACAACAAAAAACATACAGATAAAGTTGTCCCACACCACACTGGAAGGTGTCTGGTACCTGAATGAAATGGATGTGGTCGTTCGTACGAATAAGCTGTTCCAGTTCGGTGTGTCTCCTCCTCAGCTTGGCGATCTCCTCCTCCAGCTGCAGCTGCAGCTCTTCAGCCTGAGCAACAGCCATCTTCTCCCGGGCCTTGATCAGCTGCTTCGCCAGAGTGTGCTTTCTCTTTATGGAGGAGATCATCTCATCAAAGATCTTATCACCGGTCTGCACTGCAGCCCGGCTACAACTCTGTTCAAAGACAAGACGTCAAGATTTATAGTTTTAGAATGTGTTCTCTGTGGAAAAATGCAGAATTTGAGACACATTGTGGTATCAGTTACTCAACAGTAATGATAACTATAGGCATAGACACTGGTGGATTTCTCTGGACGGAGAGCAAGCTGGTGGGCTCTCAGACTAAATTTAAAAAAAGCCTGTGGCGTGGCACAAAAACCTGAACCCTTTAGACGCCTTTCCCTTGTAATTATGTCAATTATTTCATTATCATGACAAACTGAATCAACAAGTGCAGAAAACCCATGCAGCTATGGTGGTTATTAGGGTGATGAATTCAGAAAATGAAAGGCATCATCCTCAAACCACTATACACAAAAAAGTAGCCCCGTTATCAAAATTGAAAAATTAGATTAGAGGCTGTCGCTCTCAAAGACCGGTCTCAATAAAAGATCAGATACTGCAGTCTGATATCACACCTGGAAATCCTTCAGAGCTTGGACCAGCTCATTAAGCTCCTCTTTTCGCTCCTTTTCTCTCTCTTGGATTTTCTTTTGACTCACGATCAGCTGTTCCTGAAAGAAATTGTTGAAGGGAAATGACTCACTGTGAACTGTTTCTTTTTTCAAATCACACCAGATCTACAGAGCACAGCTGGTAATAAAAATTGGACATTGTCAATGCGTTTCACTGCAGACCTTTAAGGTTTTTTTACCATCGTCAGTTTCGCGTTCACTAGTTCTGCTGTGTTCGTGTTCCTACCTGTTCCTCATCCCTCTCTGCTGCAGCTGACACCGTACAGTGGCTTTTATGCTCATCTATAACGCACAGATAGCAGATAAACTTCTTGTCTGTCCGGCAGTAGACCTCCAACAGCTTGTTGTGCTTCGTGCACATCTTTTGCTGCAGTGGGACTGTGGCCGAAACCAGCTGGTGCTTCTTCAACACAGGAACGCTGGAGTGAGGCTCGAGGTGAGCCGGACAGTAAGAGGCCAAACACGTCAGGCAAGACATCGTGGCTTTGTTGGGACCGGTCCCACAGCAGAAATCACAGGCTACATCTGCTGGGCCGGCACAAGGCACTGCAGCGGGGGGAGAAAGCTGCTGGGCGCTTGTTTTCTTCAACTTCTCAACAACCTGGGGATGATCAAATGGAATGTGGTGAGAAATACTGTAGATTACGTGACACACAGGAGAAAAGTAGAACAGGAGAAACAGAGAAACACTCTCCTCTGGCAGCGTTTATCTATTTTCCAGCTTAATTCTTGTCTGATAAAAGAGTAAATTAATCAGATTCAGTGACCTGCATTGTTCCCCCCCCCCCCAGGAAAGTTACTGTAGCTGTAATGCCATCGAGCAAAATGGCAACAGAGAAAGACGAGGGGGCTGTGCATTTGGGAAGTTACAATGGCTTGTTTCAGACAGAGGATGAACTGAGTGGGCTGCAGAAGTCAGAAAAACAAAGATAAATATGGAGGTTTTTGAACTCAGTCCCAGCAAAAAATAGAGCAGGGAATGAGCATAGGTCCCCTCACAATAATTTTTTTTATCCAATTATTTGCAACACCAAATATTTTAAAAGTTCAGGTAAAAAAAATGTGACACCACACTCGGTTATAAGAGCTGAGTATTTTCATAGATAATAAAAACTCATTCATGGAGCACAGTGAAAAAGGCTGTCACTCTTCACCTCAGCCAGCGTGTTGTTCCTCCTCAGTACAGGCCTCGGGTGGAAGGTCTCCCTGCACTGAGGACAGCTGTACTGCCCCTTCTTCTTCTTCTTCTCCTCCTCCTCCGCCTCTCCGTGGTCCCAGCAGCCCTCAATACAGCTATGGCAGTAATTGTGTCCACAGTGAATGGCGACCGGCTCTTTCAGCAGGTCCAGACATATTGGACAGCAGAACTGGCTGCGGTCCAGCTCAACGCGGCGCTCCTCCCGGGGCTCAGCCATTTTCACCCGCTGAAGGGAAGACCACTGTGGGGGGGTACTCGACGTTTCTTCCCGCTTAAATTCCGGATAAATACGCCGAGGCGGGGCTTTCAAGGAGCACCTCCAACGTCGGAAAGGTGAACACCTGTTAATGTTTGGGCTGTTTGTAATGTGTTCAGCTGTGTGGGGTGATTTTGGGGTGTGTAGTTTGTGGTGCTGTTCAGTTATTGCATGTACAGAGAGGGGTTTCTGTTACTTCCTACAGTCATTCATATAGTGGGTTCATGGCAAATGAACTGGACGTGAACATAAGCCTAACTGCAACATCTTCTGAGCTCTATTCACACCTTCATTTTCTCCTGTCTATATTACTGTAACTCCCTCTACATGTGCCTCGGTCAGGCTTCCCTAAATCGTTTACAGTTATACAAAATGCAGCCACCAGACTTTTAACCAGAACCAGCCGTCGGTCCCACATTACTCATGTTCTTGCATCCCTTCATTGGCTTCCAGTAAAACTCAGAATCAATTCCTTGCTCTCTGTGTCTTGTGTTTGTGTGTGTTATGTTTTATTTATTTGTTGTTTGGAAAGCACTTTGGATCTCTGTGTCAAAAAGGTGCTATATAAATAAAGTTTTACTTACTTACATCCAACGCACTACATGTTACACTCCTTATAACATGTAAAGGGGGTGGATAAAATAAAAGAAACACCCCATAGCTTTGTGATAAAACATGTATGATCAACTGAAGTAACAAATGAAATCTCTACTGTGATAGATGGCGACTCCTCGCTGCCACTATGTTGAAGGACTGCAGGAATGAGAATTTCCTTACACAGATGACTGAAAAGGTAAGCTGTGCGTGACTGTGGATGGGAAGGTACCGGTTGTTAGGATTTATTTGAAAATAACTAAAGTAACTAAACGTTGGGCACTCCATGCATGTGCTTGTATCATGTGGTTGAGTTTATCATGTTTTCTCAGAATATTAAAGAACGAGTTGCAATCTTTGGAAACCTGAGAAACTCGATCTGGTCACTGGACATTTTTTCAATATGAAATGCTATTTTGAGTGCATGCACAAGAAAACAGAGACTGGGAAACACGTATATATACATACACAGCTGTTTAATTGTTAAATGACTTGTATGTACAATACAAACACTAAACAGCACATTCATGGAAGTTATCACACTGTCACATTAAATGTCCTCCATCTTTCCCAGATATAATTGATTGTGATTAATCTAAGGAATTCAGCATCTCAAAGTAATGTGAATCATAAAAGAAATAGATAATTTCATATTATATTACCTCCATCTTAAAATAAAAAGTAATCACATGACCCTAATGATATTTTAATTCATATTCATTATGTCTTCACCCATTTTCTAATAGAATTATATTTAGATTTTCCTTTTAATATAATAACATGCTGTCATAAGTCATATTTTTAAATGCATTTACTGTGTAATGGTAGAACACTAATCTCACTGATATTCAAAATAGACATGAATGATTATATATTTTATATAAAAAACATCACCTTCCTCCTCCACTCTTTTTGTGCAGATGCTTATTTGTTCTTTTGATCTGCTGAAAATCCAGATTGATTCCAGACGGCATTCGCTGCCTTCTGTATGGCTTCCATAGGTGTTTCTGCTCCTTCAGATGCATTAAATCCTATCGCACCGCCACTTACTACCCCACTTAAAGCGGCAGAAGCAACCTTTTGTCCCTCTCCTATTGTTGCTAAAACCTGTGAAAGGTCCTGAAAATGTTTAACCATGTCTGCCACACCGAGCAAAGCTCCTAACAATGCACCTGTTGCACACCCTGCTGATCTGATCATTAACATGTCATAAACACTCATTTTAGCATTATTTCTGATCTCTTCCAGTGACATGTTCCCTGATGACTGTCTAATGCACTCTTCCTTTCTCTGAATTTCTCTTTGCACTGCTTGTAGCATCTCATTGGTGTAGCACTTTCCTTGGTTTGCCTCAGTCATCTTGTCTAGTGTGTTAAGTAGCTCTGCCACCTGGAACTGATTATTTCTGTAGGCGTCCCCTTTGTTGTTCCTCCAGTTTTTATCATCAACGACGTGGCAACGACCTCCACACTTCTTCACCAGATCACTCAGATTCTTATTCTGATGGACAAACTCCTGAATCTTCATTCCTTCAGGGAGCTGGTCACCATGAGTGAAGACCACTACAGCATATTTTAGAGCATCTTCAGAGAAATATTGGCATATTTTAGTGACGACAGCCTGCTCCTGCTCTGTGAATCTCTCCACTTTAAGCACAATGAGAAAGGCATGAGGCCCAGGAGCGCACTCTGTGATACACCTCACTATCTCAGGCTTCAGCTCCTCCTCAGATCTATCTGTGTCAAAGAAACCAGGAGTGTCGATCAAAGTGATGTTTCTTCCGTTGATAGATTTGGTTTCTGATTGACATTGTCCTGTTCCAGAGTTGAAAGTAGAGTTGATTGTGAACAGTTCCTCTCCAAATATGATGTTAGCCAGGCTGCTTTTCCCAGCTCCAGTTTTTCCCAGTAGGACGATCCTCTTTTCAGTCAGCACTAGAAGAGAACAATGACTCTGTATGAGTACATTTCACTTTTTGCTTGTTCAGTTAACTTGTCTATTTGGCTCCGAATGTTTTTTGTGTAGGATTGCATTGCAACACGTATTTTTATTACCAATTAACATGCTGATTATTTTTCATTTGATTATTCGTTTTGTCTAAAGACTCAAAAAATAAAAATGCCAAGCGGTGATTTGTGGCTGCCATTAGACAGTGCTAAAATGCTGATGTTTAGCAGGTGTAATGTTAGTATTAGTTTAGTGTGTTTGTTTATTAACGCTATGCACAAAGTATGAAAGATTTAAAATGCCTAAATGATTATTAAAGTGAAATAAAATGCACATGGTTATATCTACTTCCTTGTATGTATGCCTTTACTGTGTTATAATTAGATTTAAAAAAAATACATACATTTGTATTTCACTTATTTTAAAACTTGTATAGCCAAGGCTGATGGGAATGCCATTTTTGAAAGTACCTGTTCACAAACCAAAGTACTGGACAGATAATATTTCATCTGATGATGAATTTCTCCTCATGATGGCGCCAGATGAAAGGTTAAAGATAGGGTTGGCAACATTGGAAAAACTAGCAAGTGAAAACTGAAAAAATTCCACCCCCTTAATTCAAGCCAAACCCACTCCCACATTAAACACATTTTCATGCACAATGAGCGCACAGGCAATTATTATTTTTATTCAAATTTGATCAATATGACTCTTGCTTCATAGCAGTAACTACATTTTAGATAGATAGAGTTCTTTGTGTGACAGATTCATGTCACTAAGTGCTTGACACTGACACACTGGTGAAATGTAACTAACATTTACTCAAGTACTATACTTAAGTACAAATTAGAAATACTTGAACTTCAGTTAAGTACTTCAGATTCATGCAATTTATACTTCTACAGTATTTCATTTCATTGGAAACTATTCTACTTCTTACTCTATTACGTCTGCCTGACAGAAATGGTTACTTGAAGAATGTTTATACAAAACGCACAATCTAGATATGATGTGCCGTTAACACATGTTAATCCACTTAAAATTGAACTACCAAATTACTATATAAATTAGTTAAATTTCTTCTTTTATTACATAAAGTTACTAAATACTTCCTCCACTACTGCACTGATAAGTAGCAAACTCAACTCACCGTTCATGTTGTCAAAAAAGAAATCGCTGTAGTCACCCGACTGTACTTGTTGATGGTTTTACCTCCTGTTCTCTTCCTGTGGTTTAACTGTACTTTGATGTTCTACCGGTTTGACTTGTTGATTGGCCCTTACCTGAACAATGGAATGACTTACGTGAGTTCAATATACGGGCCTTGATTATACAAAGAGTCTAGATAAAAAAAATATCACACATGAAAATAACACAACTTCAATCAAATCAAATCAGTCAAATCAAATTCCTTCTTTTTTTACACTTAACATCAGGCTAATATAGAGATATATATTTGACAGAATTTTGTAAAATGATAACATGTCCAAAGGCAAGGTAATAAAAATGAAACCCTAAATGTGGTGGACAAAATAAAACACCCTAAAGTTTTGTTGTAAAACTTCTATGTTCAAATGAACTTAAAATGTAGTTATTGAAAATGCAGATTACTGTGATAGTTGGGAATTGTTTTTAGCCCTCATAGGTGACCAGGCTGAAGGACTGAGAGCCTGAAATAGAAATGGTAGCCTTGGGAATCTCTTTAAAAGTAGGCTATGCTACTTTTCATTCATACATTTTAATCACTTCCACCTAAAGATGAATAATAAAAAAACAAAACATTTTCTGAAATCTTAAATGTAAGATTTAACTGTAAATTCCATCATTGCCTTGCAGTATTTGAAACATGCAGATTAATAATGATAAAAAAGAAAGTTGGGGAAAATATATATTTCCGAGAAGAAAGAGTTTATTGTGCTTTCATACAGAAATAAAAATATTTTAACAGTCCTTAAAAAATAACAGCCCCCCCATGTTGACTGGGACATAATTGTGTCCAGTTTACTGAAATCTGCTGGCAAGTTAATGTAACTACAAGAGCACGCTACCGTGCGACCCAGCTACTGGAGAAATATTGAGCTTTTACTGCCTTCAAATATATATTTCTGTACCACTAAATGTTATTATAACATTTATAAAAGCACAATTTCTTGTAGCATTAAGTTTCTTGTTAAAAGCCTAAAGAGCATCTTGTTTAATAAATTACTTTCAATTCAATTAAATTTTATTTGTATAGCGCCAATTCATAACAGAAGTTATCTCAGGACACAGGCAGCTGCACCTTTTCATACCTTTATAGGGTGGAGGGTTTTGTCTCTGGGTGAGACAGAACAAGTTGGACAAGGATTTTTTAAATTTGTTTTGTATTGGCAGCATACAACTGCTGCGGATCAACTGAACAAGGAAACAAACTATTGGCTAGTAAATGCAGCGACATGAACATGGCTACATTCACTGCCTTCAAAGTACCTTATTTTCCCACCACTAAATGTGATTAAAAACTCAGTGCTATGAGAGTTTTACATTTATACTGTATGAAAAGCACTGTTTCTTTTAGCACTGTGTTTCTTGTTAAAGGTTTCTTTATTCTAGTCTTTTATTTTGTTGAAGAGGGAAGATGGCAGTCGCAGCATTTCATACCTTTTTAGGGTGGAGTGTTTTGTTTGTGTGTGTGTGTGAGAGAGAGAAAACATTGAAAATATTTAGTTATTTGATTTTAATTGGCAGCATCCACGCAACTGCTGGGGAACTTTGTTGCACTGTCTTCAGTTTCCATCATCCCTATCAGTTTCTGAGGCTACAGCCGCAGATATGTCCTTCCAATAGTCCATATATAATAATTGTTTCAACAATAATAAAACTGATATTGCAGTAAAGCCCTCACAAATAATAAGATATTACTGATATGCAAAAGGACTTCTCAATCATTCAAGAAGTAACTGTACTACACACTACTTGGCGCAGCAATGTGCATATTGTGTGTGAAAGAGAGAGAGAGAGAAAGAGAGAGCACACCACTTACTGGAAGACTTTTTGAGGAGAACCTGGCCTGATTAGGAGAGATAGCATTCATGCCATACTGGATGTTTTAGTTTATTTCTGAACATAAACACTGACCACCCAGACCAGGAGGTAATGCTGCAGACCTACACGCTTCCATCACAGCAGTTACCCACCCAAAACCTCATTTGAAACCCTTTTTTTCTGTTCCCTGACCACGCAAAACAGAAGAGTTACACATTAAAAACCTAATAAAAATTAAAACCACCTCTATAATAACAAAATAAAGTTCAATGTGGATTCTTAAACATCAGATCTATGTCATCTAAAGTTGTACTGGTGAATGAATTAATATCAGATTACGGTATTGATTGACTTTGTCTTACTGAGACCTGGCTGTGTCATGAAGAATATGTTAGCTTAAATGAATCCGCCCCAGTCATATTAATACTCACATTCATCGAGGCACTAACAGAGGAGGTGGAGTTGCAGCCATATCTGACTCAATCCTATTAATCAACCCTTGTTCTACTGTACTCCTGGCCAGTACTTTGATTTTTTTACCTGAATTCTGTGAGTTTTTAATCAAGTTTAGTCCAAGTTTAATAATTACAGATAAAGTAATTATTAAAGGTGTTTTTAATATTTATGTGGACATTGATAATGATGCCTTAGTACAGTGTTTATCTCATTGTTAGACTTGATTGGGTTTTGTCGTCATTGTTACAGCCACACCCTTGACCTTGCGGGTATTATGAGTCGATGTCTCAACTATTTATTATTCATTTAGCGCCATCATCAAGTTTCCATTACCAAATAACTGTAAGCCTCTACTGTACTTTATGCTAATTATCAAATGCTAACATGCTTAACTAAGATGATAACATGGTTAACAGTATACCTACTAAACATGTTCACATTGTCATTGTTAGGATCTAAGCATGCTGACATTACCTGAGCAGCCTCTGTTATAACATTGTTTTAATTATTCTAACGCACCATTCATGACTTGATTACCTTATACAGTAAAAACTCTATCTACACAAATAACAACACAATTCACTTTATTAATGGTTCATTTTTAATGATATGGATTTAGTGCAGGAGCACCAGAAGCCTGTCTTACACAAAGATGTTGAACATTTCCAGCATCAATATATTGTAGATACAATGTTTGTATACATTAAGTGATATTTTCTGGTTAACTTTTGCAACAGAGAACAGTGATCAATGTTTTAAGAGCAGAGATACAGCAAGCAGTGTACACTGGTTTGATTTCAGTCTTTAAAATCTTATCTTTGGATACTGTTACTGTTATCCTTGTGGTTTGTGGTTACATTGGGCAACAAATCAAACTGACACTGTGGTTAGTGTGTGATACAGGAATAAGTGACTAAGTTTAAAGCTCTGACAAGCAGTACAACCTATTATATATGTATATATGAATAAACATAAAAATCTCAATGGTTAATGATTATTTATAACAAGATTTTTGTTTGATCTACAGGGACATATGGCGTTTTAAAGATAACTTCCTTCCTCTTCTTCAAGAGTCTCAGCTTATTATAGGTTTTAAGGGACCAGTGTGTAGGATGTAGTGGTGCCTAGTGGTGAAGTTGCAAATTGCAACTAACTGAACACCACTTGGGTCTGAATTTGACAACCTGGGAATGAGAATGGGCGTGTAGGAGAAACTACAGTAGCTGTGAAACTGGCGAACAACATGAAAGTCTGTATGTACAGCCAGTGTTTTGTTTGTCCATTTTGGGCTACTGTAGAGATATGCAACAACAACAGCATCTGTAGATAAAAAACGTCTCATTCTGTTCCTATGAATGTTCCTAGGCCAATAGATCCTCCCAAATGTTACACACTGGACCTTGAACTCTTTTTTAACTTTGGTAGTGATTGTCAGACAAAAACCTAATCATCAAGCCCAATCTGTCCCAGATCTGATTTATTCTTTTCAGCCTCTGCTGCCCTCTTTGATGCTTCCTGTGGTGTGTCTGTTCCCTGAATTGCATTATGTCGTGTAACTTTTCGTATCAGCAAACCCACTGCAGCATATATTATTGAATATGTGCTTGACAGTGCAACTGTTGCAATATATGCCAGTCTGCTCAAAAGCTTCTTTAATATGCTGACCTTGGCCTGCCTGTCATTGGTGTAGCAATGTCCTTTGTTTGCCTCAATTATCTTGTCTATGGACTTGAGTAGCTCCTCCACCTGAAACTGGTTGTTCCTGTATTCATCCTTTGTGTTTTGGTTCCAGTATTTATTATCAATGACATGGCACCGGCTGCCACACTTCGCCACCAGATTACTCATGAACCCATTCTGGAGGACATATTCCTCAATTATCTGTCCTTCAGGCAGCTGGTCACCATGAGTAAAGACAACTATTGCATATTTGAAGATTTCTTCAGAAAAGTATTGACACATTTTGGTGATGACAGCCTGCTCGTGCTCTGTGAATTTCTCCACTTTAAGCACAATGAGAAAAGCATGAGGCCCAGGAGCGCACTCTGTGATACACCTCACTATCTCAGGCTTCAGCTCCTCCTCAGATCTATCTGTGTCAAAGAAACCAGGAGTGTCGATTAAAGTGATGCTTCTTCCATTGACAGATTTGGTTTCTACTTGACATTGTCTTGTTTCAGAGTTGAAAGTATGTCCAATCTTAAAACGCTTCTCTCGAAATATGGTGTTACCCAGGCTGCTTTTCCCAGCTGCAGGTCCCAAGATGACGATTCTTCTGTTCTGAAACAATTCTGAGAGAGAATAATGTCTATGAATAATAGTTAGATTCATATCTATATCTATATCTATATCTATATATGTGTGTGTGTATATGTTTTAGATAAAACACCTAAAAGACTGACTATCAATTACAATAAAAATCCATATCCAAAATCACAATGAACCGGTAAAGCAGTTAATACTTATGAAATAGCTGAATTACCTTTTTAATAGGGTAGAGAAGAATGGTGCCAATACATAAAAAGAGGCCCATTAAGAACATCTTAAGTATCTAATCTCTTGGTAGTAAATAGTACCAACCACTGTTTAACAATATAAGTTAATCTATTGTGGTAAAGAACATTGAGGATCATTTTGTAAATAGATTTTAATAGTGACAATCGTAATTTTTAGTCCTCCTCATTTCATCCAATACTTATTATTTACCTAAATATTTATTAAATGTGTATCTGACACACTGAAATAACAGTTGTAGACAACTGCATTTGGCACACCTTATGTTTCACAAACTATTTGATCCAAATACTGGATGTCCTAGTTACACATAAACTTAAATGATTGATATATTAAGGCGATCAGTTACTGCAGGGGTCAGCAACCTTTACTATCAAAAGGGTCATTTTTGGTTAAAAATAAATGAAAAAAAATTGTCACTACCATGTCATATGTTGATAACCTGCACCAGTATACGTATCTATACCCACAATACCCTTGGACATTGCCAAAATTAGTATAGTATTTTGTATTACTATTATGATCTTGCGTATACTTTTTCCCATTATTATTGATTCGATTTTTGTTGTTTGTTTTTGTTGTTGGTTAGGCCAGACATATTGCCAGCTTTTTGGCTTTGTGGTAGCCAGCCATTAATCTTAAGAAACATTACTATAACATTATTATAAGACATCACTGTAAAATATTACCTTGCTAACAAACTAAATGGACTGCATAAAATAAAACAATGTTGGGAAAACAGGGAGCTTTAAATATGATATTTTTCACTTGGTATGACTTAACTGGACTTGTATTGTGACGGGTCACTTCCTGTGACTGTAATCTGATACGAGTTGATGACGCGGTGACCAGGTAACAAAACTCCCAATCACCCCATTGTTCATCCTTTTAAGTCTTTTCTCCTCAGATATTACATAGAGCAAAAGGGTGGACCCAGCCGCTGCGCCAAGGACCCAGCCAACATGGGATGGCGCACTCCACCAGGTGAGCCACACACACCCCATCAAGGTAAGATTTTAATGTCCTTTTAAGCAGTCTCTTATCTTAAATCTAGATTTGTTTTATTAACCAGGCTAGGTTTGCATTATTAAAAGTATTACTTTTTCAGACGCGCCCAAAGGCATAAAAGGCTATGTCAGAAAAACATGCTAACTTTTCGGCCTCATGGCCTTCATTATAGCATGGAGGAAAAAATGGTAGTCATGCTTTTTTATATACAGGAATTGGCAGGTGATTGGCTTAAAGGGTCACATGATCATTCACTTCCTATGGTCACTTCCTGTTTTTTGTTTTGTGTCTAAAAACAAGTGCAAAGTAAACTTAATACAATTTCACAATTCTACCCTAGGGTGACATACTATATACGTTCTGTTTCCACATTTTTAAACTTTTTTAAAGGAAACATTCAAAACTGAAGTCATCATTCAGAGGTGTGGCACCGAATTTTGATCTTTGGCCAAGAAACAGAAAGAATTTCTAACTTCAGTGTACCTTGTTCTGTGTTCTAAAAAAACAAGTTTGGAAAAGCATAGTGAACTGAACAGAGGGAAATAGAAATCAATGACTTTTCTTTAGCAGTACAGATTTAAAATAAATTTGGGTATAAGAGATGCTTTTAGTGCAGTGAGTTGAATAGAACGTGTATCATATAAACAATGTCATCTTTATTTCTAAATCAAGTAAAAATAATACTGTACTAATAATAAAATACATACACAGTGTTGTTAATTAATTTTATGTGCAACACTGTCACTTTCTACCGCTTCTTTTCATAGGCTTATAGGTGAGAAGATGAATTTACTTGAAAAATAAAATACATTCTCCTTGGTTTGAATTGTTATTTCTGTGGCCAAATTAATGTTACAGTTTGAGTAAAACTGTAGTCAGTTTATCAGAGAACTTTCAAATGCCAAGTGTCCCAGAAATGCTGACCCCCTATGGTTGTCCACCAGTTGTGAGCAAGTGCTATCCTTTTATTGTCAAGAAAAACCTCCTGGAAAAGTCCTGGAAAATGATTTCCTAAGAAGACCTTAGTATCGCTAAAAGTTAGAAGATTTAAAGCCAGGCCATTAACTCATGTATCCATATGGTATTTATCAGTTCATTATTTTCAAATTTCATCTCATTGAATCTTGATCTTTTAAATATTTAATCTCTGTTTGCATTGCCTCTAAAATTGCTGAACTCACGTCTTTGAAGCTGTTCATGCCTAGACAATCTCTGTCTTTTGCAAATCAATCATCTGATCCAATCTTTGTTAATCAGAAAGAGAGGCTACACACACTGAATGGAGCTGTGTGTCTTTTCCCATTAGCTGCTGTACTCCATAGGATTTTCAAAATATATTTGTTTCTCCTTTCCTTTAAAATGTCCCATTGTAACTCCCTTGTTTCCTAGTCTTAGTATCTTCCACTGTACTCCCATTTAAGTACCAGTTAGGAACCATTAAATATTTTCTTAGTACCTGATTTACACAACAAAATTACAATGTGAATAGCAAGCTTATTATAAAGCAATACCAAAGATCTATGGCAGCCATCTAAGTGTAGCACCTGCACACTGTTAAAAATATGTACCTTAATGTGCCATGTTGTTCCTGCCAGTAATGATCGAAAGAAATTAACTTACCGTCCATGTTGTCAAAAGTGAAGTTACCGTGGAGCAACAATGAGTCGATGACAGGACTGCCAGTGTGTGAGTGTGAATGTTTGTGTGTATGTGAATGTTTCCTGCATCTTCTTTGAGTTTGGTGCCAGCTCCACTCCCTGAATTGTTGCACAATGAACAAAGCACCAAAAGAAGCATACCGTAGGTGTTTTCATTTACATCCATTTTGCAAGTCTCACTACATGGTATAACCACGATTGAACAGAAATATTCCGCCACATGTTAATGCTTCAATGATTAACCGATTGTGAAGAGACAGAAACACATGTAGGACTTCTTTTCATCAATTGCATTTATGGGGCTTGGTATGCAGGTTCATATCCTTCTCAAAATAATGACCATGGACCAAAAGGAGCAGTGGTGAAAAAAAGAAAACAGGATAGCATTTTTTGTGCACACTTACAGAGCAAATGTGAACTCGGGTTGCTCATATAATCCCTCACCTGTTTCTCAACAACTTTAGCTTGGCAAGCCTGATAACTTTCAGCTTAACCTTGATGAAGCTTCAGCAGTGACTCTGCCACATTCCTCAGTCTGTCAGTCTGTGCCTCAGATCTATCTGCGTCAAAGCAACCAGGACAATGCACAATGACATACCGACCTAACCCAGGGTTGGTCAACTACTTTTTTCATTGGACCTTGACTAACCTGTTTAATCTTCGTGACAGGGGCAAGCTGTACCACATTTCAAAGACGCAAACAATTCTGTCCTCCTCCCATTTCATGAAGTGGTTCCAGTTTACTCGGCTTTCTTAATTATTTTCTCCACTTAATGTGCCAGAAGTCAAACAAAAGAGTTCACACACTCACACAGGCCCAGGAGGCAGTTGGGTTGATAATTCATGTTTAGTGACTTTAATAAAAAATAAAGCTTCCCATTAGGACACATATCCGGGTTGCTGCTGAAAAAGACATTAAGGCCATATTCAGACAAAATCAGGAGTTGTGTAGTTCAGCCTCAGGGTTGTATGGCGGGCGGTGTGTTTATTTGCGCTGTGAAAGAATTAGGAAATAACTATTTTATTTCTCTGATTGACTGATTTTCTCAAATTCTATTCAACTCTCTAACATATTTTTTACTTATATTACAGCTTGCCACTATGAGTAATGGGTAATGATTAATGAAGTTCTTGAACACAAATCCACACAGCATTGGCTGCAACGAACATACCTTACATGTCAAAGCAGGTGTCAGTGTTTACAAATTTAATGAGAGGATGACTAGACTTAGGAAAACACCATAGGAGTGAATTGTGGGAACAGGAATCAGGTAGCCTAAATTTGTGCTTTCTCCAAGTTTGATGTCAGTAAATAACAGTAACGTTCAGTGGATGTGCAGCTTGCAGTGAATCCACTCTGTCTGTCTCAGTAACAGCTGGCAGTGCAGCTCTTGGTCTATCTGTGTCTTCCTGTCTTAAATGTGTAGTAGTGTGGTGTGGTGATTTGTGTGTGGAGAAACACGTTTGGCCTCCTCTACAATGAAATTGTCTTCATTATTCTTTTTTATTGAATGTTCTTATTTGGTGATACATTGTAATCCACAAAGAACTACAACTATTGAATCAGGAGCATCAAAATCCATTCCATCCAATCCATTTTTATTTTGTGATAAAGGGTTCTAATACAGTACATGTTTGAGTTGCTCCTCCATCAGTACCATAAAGTCACATACCATTGTCATCACAGGTAAAGTAGTATCCCCACCCACATAAACATATATATATATATAGGACATGATAAAGACAAAACACAGTGTTCCTTATAATTTATGGATCCTGGATCATTTTGTGCCTCCACTAATTCTACAGGGTCCATTATAATAGAGCTTGTGAAATTGTTTCTCTTTGTCTTTTTGACGATTTTGTGCTTTAAATATTCAAGAAATATTTCATTAAAGTTTTCCATTTTTGAAGTGTAGGTGCTTCCTAATTTTGCCAGTTTTACAATATGAGCTTCTTGGGGCGCCCGGATAGCTCACCTGGTAGAGCTGGTGCCCCATGTACCAAGGCTTGCTGTAGCGGCCATGGGCTCAAATCTGACCTCTCTACCCCGTTCTTGTCTAATAAAGGGAAAATGCATGTTTAAACAGCTCAATGGTTTAAGATAGTTTAGAACAAGACTTCCATGAAATCTACAGTGGGATTTGACTTTTTAGAGATAAATTAGATAAGATAAATTATCAGCACTTTATTCATGACTCATGACTCATTATAGGTTTTAAATGAGTTTTAAAGTCCAACACATAATTTGCTGCATCTAAGACACACTGTGTATTTTTATCCTTTGCTGCTCACTTTGCTGTGTTTGCTCTCTTGGTTAGATCATTCTATAAATGATCTCATTGCCATACCAAACAAAGCTCCAATCAATGATGTGATTCCAATACCTGCCGCTTTGAGCAAAATCTTCTTAAATACGCTGGCCTTCGCCTGCTCTCTGAACTTGCCATCTGACTTGTTTCCTGATGACTGTCTAATGAGCTCCTCCTCTTGTTGTATTTTATTCTCCACTTTTTGTAGCGTCTCATTGGTGTAGCAGCTTCCTTTGTTTGCCTCAGTCATCTTGTCTATGGACTTCAGTAGCTCCTCCACCTGGAACCGGTTGTTCCTGTATTCATCATTTGGGTTGTTGTTCCAGTATTTATTATCAATGACATGGCACCGGCTGCCACACTTTTCCACCAGATCTCTCAGGAACTTATGCTGGTGAACCATTTCCTCAATTTTCTTTCCTTCTTCAAGTTGGTCACCATGTGTGAAGAGAACTACTGTATATCTAAAAACCTCTTTAGAAAAGTATTCGTGTATTTTTTTGATGACAGCCTGCTCATGCTCTGTGAATCTTTCCACTTTAAGCACAATGAGAAAAGCATGAGGCCCAGGAGCGCACTCTATGATACACCTCACTATCTCACGCTTCAGCTCCTCCTCAGATCTATCTGTGTCAAAGAAACCAGGAGTGTCGATCAGTGTGATGCTTCTTCCATTGACAGATCTGGTTTCTGCTTTACATTCTGTTGTTTCAGAGTTGAAAGTGTGGCCGCTGTTGAAGCATTTCTTTCCAAATATAGTGTTACCAAGGCTGCTTTTCCCAGCTCCAGTCTTTCCTATGATGACGATTCTCCATGTGTTTGACACTGAAAGAGAAAATTGTCCATCAATAATACTGTACATGTGTCTTTTGGTTGTTTTCATACATAAAAAGATACATTATTTACTATTAAAGAGAGCTGCACTTGTACTGTACCTCATAGGTATTGACAAAAATAATTAACCTCTCCTTTCCTCTAAAGTTTTCCATGCCCTGAGTTCACCTTTTCCTTGCATTTCCCCTGCAGTCTCATCCTCTCCTGGCACCTGGCTCATCTCTACACCTGTCTACAATCAGCTCCTCAACTCATAGTTTAAATACCCCCCAAAAAACACAAGAAGGACATGCGAAAAAACTTCTCCTGCAATGAATTACTTTTTTCTAGTGCCTTGGCTAACTTGGTTTTCCTCCTCTGTTTCAGGATTTCAGTGGCAGTCTCTCTGCCCAACCATCTTCCCGCACACCGCCTGAGCTCAATCTCCTTCATCCATCTATCAATCTTACTAAACTATTCACTTCACTGCATCTGTGTATTATATTCCACAGTACCTAGATTTAAGTACCAGTAAGAATCAGTAAATATTTTATTAGTACTTGATTATTGCCAATAGCAAGCTGTTCTAAAGTGTTAACAAAGATTTATGGCAGCCATCTGAGTTTTATAAAGCATAAAATATATTTACAACAAAACAGCTATCTCAATTTCTTGCATCTTAATGTGCCCTGTTCATTCCTGCCAGAAACGATGGAAAAAAATTAACTTACCGTCCATGTTGTCAAAAGTGAAGTTACTGTGTGGCAGTAATGAGTCAGAGTGACAGGACTGCCAGTGTGTGAGTGTGTGTGTGTGAATGTTTGTGTGTATGTGAATGTTTCCTGTATCTTCTTTGAGTTTGGTGCCAGCTCCACTCCCTGAATTGTTGCATGATGAACAAAGTACCAAAAGAAGCATACCGTAGGTGTTTTCATGTACATCCGTCTCGCTACATGGTATAACCACGATTGAACAGAAATATTCCACCACATGTTAATGCTTCAATGATTATTGAAGACATTGAAGACAGAATAGCATCTTGGACTTCTTTTCATCAAATTCATTTATGGGTCTTGGTATGCAGCTTAATATCCTTATGAAAATAATTAACATGGATCTACAATCTATGCACAAGAAGTTTTCTATGGAAGACCTGGCTACAGCAGTTTCAACAATAAATAAAAATAAATATTTCACTTTGCCACTCTAAGCTATTGATATTGTGGTTTTTGTCAGTTATTAATTTAATTTATTAAGCTCCCAAAGGTTCCAAGAAACTATTTTCTGTTTCTGTCTGTCATTGCATTGCAGTTATTTGTTTGTTAGAAAAACTTTATTGAAATATGCAGACCAGGGAAATGACAGACACATTTCTACAGATACAAAGCAGTTTTAGAATTACTGTATAACACAAGACAGGGCCATTATAAGAAATTAATGAAGTCAGTTATGATAGAAAATAATCAATTGATAAAAACACGTCTTTCAGATACAAATTTCTTTACATAGATTAATAAAAGGCAGCCGATGCTACTTTCCCTTTCTAAAACTTCCACATAAAAATTAATAAAAGAAAACTATTCCATCATTGCATTAGAGTTATTTTGTTACTAAAACTTTATAGAAATATGCAGACTAGGCAAATGATGGACACATTTCTGCAGATACAAAGCAGTTTCAGAATTACTCTAAAATGAATGAAGTCAGTTATAATAAAAAATTATGAGTTGGAAAAAACGTCTTTCAGAAGAGAAGTCATTTTTGTGCTTTTCATCACGCAAGTCTCTTCAACCGATGTGGAAAACTTCCACGTTGTTTGGTATTTGGATTGAAGAATTTGAAAAGGAGGGTGATGGCTGCACCTTTTCATAGCTGTTTAGGGTGGTGACTGTGGTTTGGAAGGTACAGGTTAAAAATACACTGTTATTTTCGTCTATTTTTGTCGTGTTCAGTTCGAGAGTATTAACAGGTTGTGTAACCAGACTAACACCACCTTAACCAAAGTGGAAAATGGGTACTCCACCCTGACTCTGCATGTCAGCTGACAGATTTTGACTGGGATGCAATGCAGAACCATTATATAACTATTGGCAACAAGTAAATTCAAGCATGTGAACACAGAGAGTTGTCAAATTTGGGTGAAGCATGATTTAACATTCATTCTCCACTTTTGTAAAATCACATCCTCTCATCTGTCATATTAAGTTCATTTTGGACAGACAATTGCAGCCTGATCAACAGTGGCACACATTAACCTTTCATAAATCAACATAACTCAATCAGTTCTGCATAAGCTTCAATGTCTGACTGATGATGATACGGATCGTCCTTCAGCCCAAGGCCAGGGTACAGAGGCTGACCGAACGTGGTGTGTACTTTGTGGAGGAGAGTCATCTTGTCAGAGACGCTATAAAAGCACAGCACACCTGCCTTATGATCCAGGTACACTCCGATCGTGGAGGATTGGGGGCCTGACACTGTCGAGCTGTTTGCGTTGTGTTGGAAAGAGTAACCATTTGGGGAGCACTCTAAACTCCACGACTTGTCATTATTCCCAAACTCTGAGTAATGTGAGGATGATCTGCTGATGTCTTTGTATGACACCGCCACAGACACTGTACCACCACTCCAGCTGACCTCCCAATAGCAACGCTCCGTCAAACCCTGTGTGCACAACACCTGCATGGCATTTGTAAACCTTTCTTTCTTTTTCTTAGAAAAATAATTTTCATACTTTTGATGCGTTACCCGCCGGTATTCTTGCGAAACGGACAAATATTTGTTGGCTGAGTTCTCATTCAGAGTCAGAGGACAGTAATCTGATGGAAGGAAAAAAAGCAGGAAAAATATTAACATCAACCTTTTAAGATTCTGTTCATTATTCATGAAATGGTATATTGTGGAACTGCATAGAATCAAATATTTAACTCACAGTGTAAAAACTCTTCTCTGGTCTTTGGCACAGGTGGCAGGACAACATCTATATTAGACACTAACAAAAAGAAAAATCCTAAATATGACTTGATTCGAACAAAACCGCTTTATAACTCAGGATTTTAATATTTGTATCAGGTACCTGTGGCTAAGATTGTGGGCCATGTGTCTCTCAAGAGCCGCTCTATGTCATTCCTCAGCTTAGACATGCAATCAGTCACAGTTCTGAACGAATGTTGAGGAGGATCAGCAGGCTCTGGAGGCAAGTATAGGGATTCACAGGAGGTGGAGAGGGACTGGAAAGTCTGGAGGGAATTAAATAAGTCAGAGATAAGAAGAAAAACAAAATAAAAAGCCAAGAAATAGTTATGAGTATATTTATTGTATGTAAAAACACATACAATGTACTGTAGTTAGTGCTGTAGTAGTCCACCAATAGATCACCAGTTACCAGTTAAGTGATAAAATCGAAGTTTGATAATCAAATATGGTCACTGAATGCTGCACTGCCAAATGTGGCCAGTAGATGTCATATTTGGACAATGAATTCAGCTGTGCTTTGTTTGCTTGTTTTAAGCTTCTACAGTGAGCGCTTTGTCTCTAGAGCACTGAATATTCAATCATTTGGGATTGACATAACATAAGAATTATACAATACACATCCAAAGAAACGTACAGATAAAGTTGTCCCACACCACACTGGAAGGTGTCTGGTACCTGAATGAAATGGATGTGGTCGTCCGTACGAGAAAGCTGTTCCAGTTCGGTGTGTCTCCTCCTCAGCTTGGCGATCTCCTCCTCCAGCTGCAGCTGCAGCTCTTCAGCCTGAGTGACCGCCGTCTGCTCCCGGGCATTGATCAGCTGCTTCGCCAGAGTGTGCTTTCTCTTTATGGAGGAGATCATCTCATCAAAGATCTTATCACTTGTCTGCACTGCAGCCTGGCTACAACTCTGTTCAAAGAAAGAAAGAAAGAAACTTTTTAAACAAGGTTTATTGATGATATTTTGCATAGACATTGGTTGGTTAACAACAGCCAGTGGTGTAGCACAAGAAATCTTGACCCAGTTCTTCTTCCCACTTTAATACATGCATTGTCATGACAAAGTGACTCAACAAGTGCAGTGAATGCATCTATAGTGGTTATTAGGGTGACTACTTTAGAAAATGGAAGGCACAATCCCTATATCAGTATACACAAAAGAAACTCTCAAACTGATTGACTGGTCTCAGTCTCGAGTTATTCAACTTTTCTGATACTGCAGTTACTGAAGTCTAGTTTGCACACCTTGAAATCCTTCAGAGTTTTGACCAGCTCAGTCAGCACCATTTCTCGCTCCTGGAATACATCCTGGATTTTCTTTTGACTCATGATCAGCTGTTCCTGAAATAGATAAATAGAAATAGTTGGTGCAACAGCAAATGACTCATTGGGAATGGTTTTATTAATACAATTAGTACATGTTCTATTATTTCAATCAAAATCTGAGTACTACTGGTAATTAAAGATTTGATATTTTGTTCCTACCTGTTCCTCATCCCTCTCTGCTGCAGCTGACACCGTACAGTGGTTTTTATGCTCATCTATAACACACAAATAGCAGATGCACTTCTTGTCTGTCTGGCAGTAGACCTCCAACAGCTTGTTGTGCTTCGTGCACATCTTTTGCTGCAGTGGGACTGTGGCCGAAACCAGCCGGTGCTCCTTCAACACAGGAACGCTGGAGTGAGGCTCGAGGTGAGCCGGACAGTAAGAGGCCAAACACGTCAGGCAAGACATCGTGGCTTTGTTGGGACTTTTCCCACAGCAGAAATCACAGGCAACATCTGCCGGGCCGGCACAAGACACTGCAGCGGGGAGAAAGCTGCTCGATTCTTTTCTTCTTCAACTTCTCAACAACCTGATATAATAGAAGGCGGTGAGAAATACTGTAGATTATGTGACAAAAGCAGAATGAGAACGGAATTCATTCAGAGACAGTAAACATCTACCAAGGCTTCAGCATCATTTAAAGTAGTTACTCTAAATTATGGAAATATGAAGATATATAAATAAAAATAGATAAAGACGGCACGAAATTTAGGGCAGTTTAAAAAATGTTTGCAAATCATTTAAAATAGGAATTCTGTTTGTATAGAAATGGGCTTGGTATAAGATCATTCTGCTTCTATTCATTTCAGGTTACAAGGCAAAAAGTGCTTATGTGTAAAAAGTTTCATCTGAGATTTAATTTTGAATATTGGTTATATTTCCACTTCAAATATATAGTAAAATACTGTATGCTGACAGTAATAGACAAAAATAGTAACACCATAGTATTAGGCTATTAGTATTAGTGGATCCACCCATATACGACTGCAGATCCTACACTCGTTCTACCACCACTTCCGAGTGTTTCCCTGCCATCACCTCAGCCAGCATGTTGTTCCTCCTCAGTACAGGCCTCGGACTGAAGCTCTCCCTGCACTCAGGACAGCTGTACTTGTCTCCTGTCTCCTCGTTCTGGTCCCAGCAGCCCTGAATGCAGCTTTTGCAGTAATTGTGTCCACAGGGAATGGTGGCCGGCTCTTTTAGCAGTTCCAGACATACTGGACAGCAGAACTGATGCTGGTCCAGCTCCGTGCCGCTGTCCTGAAGCTGCTCAGCCATTTTGATTAGTTGTGTAAGCGTCAAATGCAAGGAAAAGGAACTGTTAAGTTTCGCTTTCGGTTCAGAGACCTGGGGGCGCTGCTCATGTTACATAACTGCATCCACGTTTCCCCTCACTTGCGTCTTTTTCTTGCGTATTAGTCCCTCTTAGTAGGGATGCATGGAGAAACGAAAAGAAGGAAATAAGGAACGAGGAATTATGTATTTTTTTTAGAGAATTGAGACATCCTTTTCCTGTGGAGCCTCGCGCCCGATGACGGCGACGGCTTCAACAGCTGAGGAGAGTTTTGGTGGACTTTGTGTCTTCACACGTGGCCTGTACTAATATTAATAAAGACAGTCATCATTGCAGTTAACTCAGTTTAACACTCCACCTGCACATGACATGAGTTTCTCCCCATTAAGAGAGACGCTGTGCGCATTTACGCACGAGGCACAGCAGCTTCATTGATTATTTAAATCACTGCGACTTGGGATGAGTAAAGCTCTACCAAGGCTTCAGCATCATTTAAAGTAGTTACTCTAAAATATAGAAAATTATATATCAATAAATAAAGATAGATAAAGACTGCAGAAACTTTAAAAAATGTTTGCAAATCACAAGAGAACAGACTGTAAATTATGTACACAGCGCTTTAATTGTTAAATACAATAAAACACTTTACAACAAAAACTAAAATAAACACATCAACATACAAAAGTAATTGAAAGTGTAAAATAAAATACATAAGAGTTAAATCTTGCAAAAATACTTAAGTCTTCACAATGCCATAATAAATGTCCATCTTTCCCAGATAGAGGTGATTTTGAATGAATTATTAAAATGTTAAAATGTCTTATCATTTATGGTCTGTGAATGTATTGTAGCTGACACAAGACGCTGAAAAAAACATCCATGAACAAAACCACTATTCACCATCTTAAAGTCATGTAAAACATAAAAGAAATCAGATTATGTCACTTTCATTTAAAAAAAAAAAGAATAACATGACCATCTAATATTTATATATATATTATATTATAATTCATAATGTCTTCAACCTCCTAATAGAATTATGTTTAGATTCAGAATGTAATAACATGCTGTCATAAATCATTTCTCAAATGCAGTTACCCTGTAATGGTAGAACACTAATCACACTGATATTCACAACTGACAGGAATGATTAAGAAGTGACTGCATCTTTATTTCCACTGCATGGTAGGCCTCGGCTCAACTCAGCTGATCATCACACAGGATCAATGGGAGACGTCCTGTGTCATTAAAGTGACAATTCTAGTGATGATTCTCTCTGACCAAGTGTTTTAACACCATACTGTGCAGTGGAAATGAGGCACTTGATTGCTAAAGCTTGTTGTCCAACTAATTCTTTAAATGCTTCACAGATACGTAAAACAAGTAGCCCATTGTTTTAGTTTTAACATGATTTATATATTTTGCTTATTTGTTGTTTTGATCTGCTGAAAATCCAGATTGATTCCAGACAGCATTCGTTGCCTTCTGCATGGCTTGCACCGGAGTTTCTGCTCCTTCAGCTGCATTATATCCTATCGCACCGCTATATACTACCCCACTTAAAGCGGCAGAAGCAACCTTTTGTCCCTCTCCTATTAAAATCTGTGAAAGGTCTTGAAAATGTTTAACCATGTCTGCCACACCGAGCAAAGCTCCTAACAATGCACCTGTTGCAAAACCTGCTGATCTGATCATTAACATGTCATAAACACTCATTTTAGCATTATTTCTGATCTCTTCCAGTGACATGTTCCCTGATGACTGTCTAATGCACTCTTTCTCTCTCTGAATTTCTCTTTGCACTGCTTGTAGCATCTCATTGGTGTAGCACTTTCCTTGGTTTGCCTCAGTCATCTTGTCTAGTGTGTTGAGTAGCTCTGCCACCTGGAACTGATTATTTCTGTAGGCGTCCTCTTCGTTGTTCTTCCAGTATTTATTATCAACGACGTGGCACCGGCCTCCGCATTTCTTCACCAGATCACTCAGATTCTTATTCTGATGGACAAACTCCTGAATTTGCATTCCTTCAGGGAGCTGGTCACCATGAGTGAAGACAACTACAGCATATTTTAGAGCATCTTCAGAGAAATATTGGCATATTTTAGTGATTACAGCCTGCTCATGATCTGTGAATTTATCTACTTTAAGCACAATGAGAAAGGCATGAGGCCCAGGAGCGCACTCTGTGATACACCTCACTATCTCAGGCTTCGAATATTCCTTGGACCTTTCTGCATAAAAGAAACCAGGAGCGTCGATCAAAGTGATGCTTCTTTCATTGACAGATTTGGTTTTTGCTTGACATTCACTTGTTCCAGATTTGGGAGAATTGTTTATGGTGAATAATTCCTCTCCAAATATGGTGTTAGCCAGGCTGCTTTTTCCAGCTCCAGTTTTTCCCAGTAGGATGATCCTCTTTGAAGTCACCACTGGTAGAGAACAATGAGATTAATACATTTACTTTATACTTGTTTTGTTCAGTTAACCTTTTGGTTCTATTATATAAGTTTTATTACCAAATAAGATGCTGAATATTTTCTATTAGTTTGGTCTGTAAATTCAGAGAATAGTGAAAAATGCCAAGCTGTGCTTTGAGCCAAGTCGCTTTGGGTTGCCTGCCCTGAGATAACCAATGCCTGTTGTGTTGCTCACCCTACTTCATTTGTTTCTAATTCATCATAACCCAAAGTGTCAGTATTCGACGACCTGGAAATGAGATAAATACATACATGCTGATTTTAAGCAATGTTTGTAATGTTTGTGTAATCGTCACCATAGTTAGCATGCTGAAAATAGCCAATTAAAGCTAGACACAAAATATAATAAAGTAAAAAATGCCTAAACTAAAACAAATAAAATGGAATATGATATACACAGGGCTAGATTTCCCTTTCATGTATGTATTTACTGTTATATTTAGATGGAAAACATGTAAAAGGACAATTATTTTGCTTTATATATTTATACATACAAACGAAATCAATAAAACAATGTATATTATATTCAATTTGTCTTGTTTTACTTTTCACATTTTATTGCTGAGGCTGATGGGAATGCCATTTGTTTTATAAACCGAAGTATTGAGCAAATAATATTTTGGCCTGATGATGGCGCCAGATGAAAAGTCAAGGAATCATCACAGTGATTACCATTCCTCCTTAGGAATTGTACCAGAATTCATCCAATGTGTGGCAGAATCATGTACAGCATGTTGCTTAGTGTTGACACTGATACAGTGAAATGCAACAAAGTCCATTTACTGAAGTAATAAAGTAAAGTTTGAGATACTTGAACTTCAGATAAGTGTTTCAAGTTCATGCAACTAACTTCTACTGTTACATTTCATAGGGGAATATGGTGCACTGTTTAAGATTAAACAACCAAAACAGTATACAACACAGTGGCTCCACCTCAACCTGCTACAGCAGTAAAATGCTACTTCACATTCAATATAATTTAATAATAAAAGGTGCCATGTTTTGGCACTTTTCCACCACTACATTGATATGTAATAAACTCAACTCACCGTCCATGTTTCCAAGAAAGAAATCACCGTTGTCACTGAGACGTGCTAGATGTCCTCACTGTATGTTTTTCCTCCTCGTCCTGTGTTTTGACTGTACTTGCATTTTCTACCAGCCTGACTTGTTGATTGGCCTTACCTGAACAATGGCATGACTATCACATTTGAGTTCCTCATACAGACCATGATTAGCATATACAAAATAAGTCCAAGCTAGGAAAACGGTAATAAAAACAAGTTAAATACATAAGTAATGAGGAAAATAGACAAGAAAAGTTAAATATTTAAAACTAGATGACTAAGAGGAAAATTAACCCATCTGAACTGTGGTGGACAAAATATTGGGAACACTTTATAGTTTGGTTATAAAACTTGTTTTATGATCAAATGAAGTAGAAAAAAATTGATTGTAGCCTGCATGTGCAACCAAAGATTGAGAACCTAAAAATATCTAGAGATAACTGTAAAATGAATGAAGTCAGTTACGTTAAAAAAAAAAAAAAAGTGAGTTGGAAAAACTTCTCTCAGAAGATAAATATTTTGTGTGCTTTTCATCACGTAAGTCTTTTCAACCGATGTGGAAAAGTTGCACGTTGTTTGGTATTTGGATTGAAGAATTATAAAAGGAGCGTGATGGCTGCACCTTTTCATAGCTGTTTAGGGTGGTGACTGTGGTTTGGAAGGTACAGGTTGAGATGACATTGTTACTTTAATTGTGTTATTGATAAGACAGTCGTATTCAGCTGGAGAGTATTAACAGGTTGTGTAACCAGACTAACATCGCCTTAGCCGAAGTGGAAAATGGGTACTCCACCCTGACTCTGCAGGTCAGCTGACAGATTTTGACTGGGATGCAGTCACACATATTGTGCCCAGTGTCCAGAACCATTAGTAAATGGAAGTACGTGAACGCGGCTACAAAAGCTCCACATCTCCTTACTAAAATTGATTTGAAAACTCAGTGTTACGTGTTTTACATTTATACTGTATCAAAGCACAATTCCCTATACCACAGTTTCTTATTAAGGCTTCAAGAGTGTCATACATAATATTTGGACTGCTTAGTTTTAATATATTCTGTGCCAAAGAGGAATAATAGCAGCTGCACCTTTTCATACCTTTTTAAGGTGGAGTTTTGTCTCTTCGTTAGACAGAACAAGTTTAAAGGGTTTTGTTATTAGTTTTTATTGGCAGCATCCATAACTGCTCAGAATCAACTGTACAAGGAAACAGGCTGAAAACAATAAGGTCTTATTGTTTAAAGTATGGCCTGTTGCCAGATATTTCTTTCATGTAAATGTAGGTAGGTGTATAAGTTTATTCTTATTATTCTTATATTCTTTAAGGATAAGGATCACAAAATAAAAAGTACAGTTTGCTATTTTTTTAAGGAACCTCAGACATTTTGATTACAATCAAAAGTTTCCAAACTCATGCATTAACATTGCAAGTGACTGTGTAATCTGAAAAAAGCTATTTGACACAATTTTCCTCATGTGATTTGGTAAAACCAAACAAAAACCAGTCTCCAAAAAATATAGTTGCAATCAAAATGCTCCCTAATGCAGAATTTAAAGCTGAGAATGGTAGTTTTTATCAAACATTATACTCAAACAGATATAGAATAAGATATATCAGGTTGTGGCTACATAGACAATACTTGTTAGTACAATCGATTCATTGCTGGTTTTCGTCTTAGAAACTATGAGTATCATCAACCTTATCCTGTAACAACTTATGCAGATCTGAATGAAACAACTGAAAAGAGGTGACCAATCAGCTGTTTTATTGTTGCATAATACATTTATAACCAACCCATATATTAATGAAAGACACAATACAAAAAGCAGTCATCACATTTAAAGGGGACAACAGGATTCCATAACTCACAAAAGACAAAAGATTAAAAACCAGTAGTCAAAATCAAAACAGAGGCCGAGATATTCTTAAAATTCTTATAATGCACCTCGTTCATTAAAAACTCTCCTTGCCTCCTAAATGTCCACTTCTTTAAAAACCCCACACCTCCAGTTTGTAATGCAGGCTTCACAAGTCTCAAACCCCCAAAAATATATACACATACTTAAGCCTCTCAGTTAAATTTCTACAGATTGGAATATTGTTTGCTACTCCATTTACATTTTATTGATTCTATATTGTTAAAAAAGAGATACACAAGAACTTCCATAAAGCAAGAAGCCAAAATGTCCAAATTAATTAACCCATAAACTATTCAGTTTTATATCTGTGTCAATAAGATATAAATCTCTTTAAGAAGTCTGCTGCTTTTTTATTTGATTCTGCTTCAGTGTTCACTCAAATGGATTCCAATGATTGTATGCTCTTTCATACAAAGCATTAAGTTTGTTCACGAGAGCCTCACCTGTATTTGGTATTACCCTCACTGGTGGGGTCAATACCTCGACTACCTCTGGTATTGTAGTGGCTGGTGGAGACACACTTGAAGGAGTCTGAACTATTTCTTCTACCAACGCTTCTATCACAGCTGGTGCTATTAATGCTTGTTCAAAACGTAGTTCAAATGGTGCTGCTTCCTTTAATGGAATCAACTCTCTCAGCTGTGTTGACTTGAACCACACAGCTAATCCAGCTACAACTCCGAAACCCACTAAAGCTAGAATCCATGTTCGAGGTGCATCGTCCACCAGCTTCTTTAAGACATTGCTTTTAGCCTGTTTTCTGATCTCTTCCTGTGACAGATTTTCTGATGACTGTCTAATGCGCTCTTCCTCTTTCTGTATTGCTTTCTCTATGTCTCGTAGCTGTTCGTTGGTGTAGTATCCATCGTTTGCCAACACTGTTTTGTCTATGGTTTTGAGCAGCTCTTCTACCTGGTACTGGTTGCTCCTGTATTCATCCTGTTGGTTCCAGTATTTATTATCAACTACATGGCACCGGCCACCGCACTTCTTCACCAGATCACTCAGATCCTCACTTTGATCAGCATACTCCTCAATTTTCATCCCTTCAGGGAGCTGGTCACCATGAGTGAAGACAATTACAGCGTATTTAAGAGCGTCTTCTGAGAAATATTGGCATATTTTAGTGATGACAGCCTGCTCGTGCTCTGTAAATTTCTCCACTTTAAGCACAATGAGAAAAACATGAGGCCCAGGAGCACACTCTGTGATACACCTCACTATCTCAGGTTTCAAATCCTCCTCAGATCTGTCTGTGTCAAAGAAACCAGGAGTGTCGATCAAAGTGATGCTTCTTCCATAGACAGATTTGGTTTGGGCTTGAGAACAATGCTTTTTCAGGTCATTAAGATTATTTACTTGGAATTTGCTCCCTCCAAATATGGTGTTAGCCAGGCTGCTCTTTCCAACTCCAGTTTTTCCAAGTAGGATAATCCTCTTTGTGTCTGACAGTAAAAGAAAATAATAACCATCAGTAAATCAGTACTTTTTTCTCATAATTGTCACACCATGGTTATGGAAGTGTTTTGCCAAGTTCATTTATTGTGCTATAATATTTATTACACAATGTGAAAAACGACTAATGACAGAAAAAATCCACAGTTGTTAACAGTCACAAGTAGAGACTGCTTTGCCCCACTTTGGATGTTGTAGGACTTTCACATGGGGAAGAAAAGCTATAAAGAGCCAATTGATGTTAAATATCAGTCGGTCCAAAAAGAAAAGTTAATGTTGAGTTGAGTTGAGTAGTCATTATTTATGTCTGCAATCACAGTTTCCTATTTTGAATGTGTTTAACATTTTTAAGGATTGTAAGAGACTACAGTATCTGACAAGTGGATAATAGAAACATCTTAACTCTCTTAAATAATCAATCTGAGAATTAGCTCATGGATATCTTGAAATAGAAACTTAAAAAAATGATACAGATGATGATACAAATGAAACATTTATTGTAGTCAAGTTATAAAAAATTAAAAGAGATATAAAATGACCACATTGCAAGCCAGGTGTCAAAAGACCCGTTCATACCTTTTTAAGGTGGAGTTTTGTCTCTGTGTGAGACGGAACAAGTTGAAAGGATTTTGTTATTTGTTTCTATTGGCAGCATCCATAACTGCTTAGAATCAACTGTACAAGAGCTTATTGTTTTAAGTGTGGCCTGTTGCCAGATATTTGTTTCATGTAAATGTAGGAAGGTGTCTAAGTTTATTCTTATTATTCTTATATTCTTTAAGGATATCACAAAATAAAAAATACAGTTTGCTATTTTCTAAGGAACCTCAGACATTTTGATTAAAATCAGTTTCCAAACACATGCATTAACATTGCAAGTGACCGTGTAATCTGACAAGTTCGGAATATTTAAAAGAGAAATAAAATGACCACATTTCAAGCCAGGTGTCAGAAGAAGATGACAATTCACAAATCCTGGTTGGATAAATCTTGATCTGTCAGAGGTTATTTTATCACAGTGAAATAATGTTTAACAAGGAAAACAAAAAAGCAACCATTCCATCTAAAATATATAATAACTCATAACTAATTAATTAACTAAAATTAAATACAAGTATCTGGTGCTCTTTGTTGAAACAACAGCTGAAATAAATAAGCTTAACTTACCGTCCATGCTGTCAAAAGTAGAAATGTGTGGAAAGAAATTACTCAGATCAATGACACGTCTCTGACTCGCCTCTTGCTTTGTTTTTTTCTACTTGTCCAACTTGTTTTCTGGCTGCAGGCTCGTGGAATGATCAACTCATGTTGCACTTGTTTTTATACAAGTACATTACAGCTATGAATATACTGCAACATCCTCCAATAATAACTGGTCTGCTGTATAAAGCTACATCACACAAAATGTGTTATGATATTGGACAAAAATTACAGCAGTCGCTAAAAATGATTCCACATGTTTCCGTATTTATATATTTTTTTGTCAATAATTTCACCCTGAACATGATTCAGGGTGTTTTGATTTAAATCTTAAATAGATTTTGCTTTCACAATAGGATGTGCAGTTAGTAACAGTAAGAGGTAACATCCTGACTTAATTTTATTTAATTAATTAACTTTATTCAAAACTCTCCCACTTTGTTCTGTTTTCTAAGATATGAAACACTTACTCATACTGGTCTGTCAATGCAGGCAAGGCTAAGAAATTGAGTATGGCTCTGGCTCTGCAACCAATTTAGTTGATATATTGCTTCAGATCTAGTTTGCTTGTTAAATCTTATATAAATGTGAAATTTTTTTTTTTTTTTAAAAAAAAAAAAAAAAAAAAATTTAAAAAAAAAATATAAATAATAAAAAAAAAAAGTTTTTTTTTTAATTTTATTGTTTAAAAATTTTTTTTAAAAAATTTTAAATAATTTTTTTTTTTATTTAATATTGAGTAGAATATTATTTTTATATTGCCAGATTTCCGACATTTGGCTAGCTCTGGCTAACGTCAATTGCTAGTACCCAGTGGGAGCACAGTGTAAATGTTTAAATGAAAAAAAGACACTTGGAAAAGTGAAGAATTTGCTGATTTATTGAGTATAGTAATTGATTTTGTGACAAAGAAAACATCCAAAAAAACATCAATCATCATCAAATCATTTTTCATTGTACTCTTTGAGAAATATTGAAGATTATGTGAAAATAATTAAAATAGTAAACATGTTCTTTCTCAGTAAGCTTTTTTCAGAGAGAGAGAGAGAAAGAGAGAAAGAGAGAGAGAGAGAACGAGAGAGAACGAGAGAGAGAGAGAGAGAGAGAGAGAACATACATTTAAAATTACTAATGACAGAACATTACATTTTAATTTGATTTGATCTAATATAATAAGAATAATAAATGCTAGTGGTTATCCATTTTCACAAGTGCTCCTGCTGCCTCTCTTGTGTGTCAGCTGCATCACTTCCAATGAACCTCCTGTTACTCCTGATGTTCTGCAGCTGTATGCACTGCAGATGCAATAGACACTGTACCAGATGGTGTTGGTGCTTCTGCTGTTGCTCCCTCTGTTACATTTGGCACTGCTGCTATTCCTGCAGTCGTTCCTATTGCTACTCCTACTGCTAATGCTACTGTTGGTCCTTCTTCTTTTGATAATTTCAGTGCCCCACCAAGGAAAGCTCCCAGCAGTGCTCCTGTTGTAACACCTGCAACTGTTAGCAGCAGCTTTTCAAAGACACTGGTTTTAGCCTTATGTGTGGTCTCCTCTGGAGACATGTTTGCTGATGACTTTTCAATGCACACTTGCTCTTCCTCTATTTCTCTCTTCACTATTTGTAGCATGTCGTTTGTATAGCAACCTCTATTGTTTGCCTCAATCATTTGATCTATTGTCTTGAGCAGTTCCTCCACCTGGAACTGGTTGCTCCTGTACTCATCCTGCTGATTGTGCTTCCAGTATTTATTATCAATTGTGTGGCACCGGCCTCCACACTTCTTCACCAGATCACTCAGATCTTCACTTTGATTGACAAACTGCTCAATCGTTTCTTGGTCAGGGAGCTGGTCACCATGAGTAAAGAGAACTATGGCATATTTTAAAGCTTCTTCTGAGAAATATTGTTGCATTTTTTTTATGATGTCCTGTTCCTGCTCAGTGAATTTCTCCACTTTAAGCACAATGAGAATAACATGAGGCCCAGGAGCGCACTCTGTGATACACCTCACTATCTCAGGCTTCATCTTCTCCTCAGACCTCTCTGTGTCAAAAAACCCAGGAGTGTCGATCCACATAATGCTTCTTCCTTTGATGGATTTGGTTTCTGCTTTACATTCACTTGTACCAGATTTGGGTGAACTGTCAATCTTGAACACAGTCTCTCCAAATATGGTGTTGGCGAGGCTGCTCTTCCCAGCTCCAGTTTTCCCCAAGACCACAATCCTTATTGATGCTAGAACACAATAATGATCAGTAATATGTTACTTTACTCTCTGGAGTTGCAGGAAGTGTAAAAAGCATCTCAAAAGTACTGTAACTTTGGGGGCGCCCGGTTGGTGGGTAGAGCTGGCGACCCATGTACTGAGGCTGAGTCCTTGCTGCAGCGGCCCAGGGTTCAAATACGACCTGCGGCCCTTTGCTGCGTGTCATCCCCTCTCTTTCTCTGCCCCCCTTTCCTGTCTGTCTTCAGCTGTCCTATCAATAAAGGCCATAAAAGCCCCCCAAAAAATATATAACAAAAAAAAAAGTACTGTAACTTTGTAAACAATATCATCATCCTATCATACTGTCTAAAGCACCCCTCCACTCAAAATTAGGTTTTTCTTCTTGCTCCTAAAGTCGGATTTTGAGCTTCACTGGGCAGAATGATGTCTGTAGAGTTAGCACATCACTGCTTCTGGAACTTTTAAAGAGGTAGAAGAAGTAGATGCCCTTTTAAGGCATTTAATGTGGTAATTATACTGTTTTTTGTAAGGAAAAAACATATTACACACACATTGTTGTTCCAAGCAGACTGTTTGATTAATGTAAAGGGATCTTTAAACTTGAATATTATAATTTTTTTGTAGATTAATTTAATAGACTTAATTGAATTTAGCAATTAAAATGAGCCAATCATTTTATAAGTCAGTCACTGTACATGATAAGCAACCAAACTGAATGCATTATTCATTGCTGTAATGACATCTGCTCTGTAATTTATACAATATACTTATAGTCTTGATTATATGAAATGCACTTACTTTTCAAAATAAACCTGATCTTTATAGTGGCTCATTTTAATTTAGCACAGTGATGGACTATTTGCTTTCACTTAGTTAATACGCAACACTATGAGAAAACTCTGTCAAACTCTGATTTAAATGAATATTACAAATTTAAACGTGATAAAACAGATAAAAGAAAAAAAGCAACACTTCTCAACTCTTTATCCTAATCATTTAAGGAATTTAAGTATTTGGATAAATTAAAAAAATACACAAACCAATTTAGATTTTGGTGAAAATATAGAATTTTCTGTGTGTGTGGCATAACTGAGAATAAGTAATTGGAACCTACCGTTCATTCTTTAAAAATAGAAATCAGTGCAGAGTTAAGAAATTACTCTTGAAGATGCTGTGACTGTATATTTTCTTTTGTCTTTCTCCGGGTTGTGTCTCGCTTGGTTTTTCCACCTGTTTGACTCGTTTGTTGGCGGCAGGGCTGATGAACATATCACACACTGTTTATCTATTTTTACACCAATGTATGCATTAACAATAAGTATGCCTCTCAAAAAGCTACAGAACTGCTCTCTAGTGGGCAGGTGATGCAATTGCAGTATTTACAGTGATTTTGCTTAAGAGTATCAATCTACAATGGTTAATTGGATAAAGTGGGAATAAACTACCAGAGGACTTGAGTCTAATCCATTGTTTTATTATCGTTATGTTTTTACATTTGATGAAACATTTTCAGAACACAAAAGAATAAGCAAATATAGTTGAAAATCATCACACGTCACAAAATCAAACAGTTTTCAATTTTAAGGTTTCAATAAACCTTTGTTCTGTCAAAATTCCATGTTAAAATAATTTATAATTTATAATAATAATTTGTGTGCAATACTCCAAAAATATAACAATAAGCACAAGTTCCATTGATTTTAAAAAGCTACATAAATAAAACATTGTTATAGAGGAAAAATCGAATCATTTACTTTCCTTTTAAAAAGTTTGAATACACATGTTTTTGCCATACAAAATATGTCAAGCAATAGATTTGGCATCTGTAATAAAGACATTGATCATAATAATATTACATGATACATAATACGTATTTTCTTGCTTGTGGCCTCTGAGCAGTACGTGAGCTATTCTCACAAATTATTCACATATACTATATAAAAAAACACTCCAAAACAAAATAAGCAGAAACATGAAAAGGAGCCTTTGCCCCGAGAAACAAATTACACTGGGCAAAGATTTATGCTTTGGGATGTTGCAAAGCCATGTCCAGTGCAAACTAAATCTTACACTAACCTATAAAGCACACACTGTATCCACATATGGCAGATCATCTCAGCACCTTAAAGGAGGATCAAAAGTTATAGAAAACATGGTAAAGAGTGATGAAAGTAATTGCTGATGCTTTGCAATTTGCAGAAGCTAGATTGTTGTGAATCATATAGTTCCATAATTCTATAATATCAATAACAGTACCACTAACAACAAAAACAACAATAATACTCCGAACAATAAGAGGAAGTTCCCAAAGATTGGTACTTGGACACCAAATGATAACAGTAGCAATGAGTAGAATACAACCACCAGCAATATGATTCCAATATGAGACTTAAAAAAAGCTATAACTTTATAAATTTTTGTTGCTACCCAAACTATTGGTCCTCCTACTACCAGGCTTAGAGCTGCTATAAGTGCTGTTGCTACCTTTGCTGCTATTCCTGCTGTAGCAGATGCAGCGGATGCAGCGGATGCAGCAGATGCAGCCGATGCAGCTGATGCAGCCGATGCAGCTGATGCAGCCGATGCAGCAGATGCAGCCGATGCAGCAGATGCAGCAGACGCAGCAGACGCAGCTGATGCAGCTGATGCAGCAGATGCAGCAAATCCTGTTCCTAGCATTAGCCCTAATATTGATGCTACTATCCCAGAAAAGAATCCAAACAGACTACCTATAAATGTTCCTAATGCTCCACCTACTGGTCGTTCTGTTTCTTTTTCTGTTGCTGCTTTTTCTTTTTCTTTTTCTTTTGCTTCTTTTTCTGTTTCTGTTATTTCTTCTTCTTCTGTGTCTGTTGCTGTTTCTTCTGCTTCTTCTTCCTGTCTTTCTGTTGCTGCCTCTTCTTCTGATTCTTCATCTGTTTCAGTTATTGCTACTTCTTCTCCTGTTTCTGTTTCTCCGTCCTCTACTTTTCCTTGTTCATCTTCTCCCACAGTTTCCTGCAAAACTACAACAGCTGCCCCGCAGAAAGACCCCGCCAAGGATTCTGCTGCAGGGCCTGTCAATTTGATCCACACATTCTTGGAAGCAGTGTTGTTAGCCTTATTGCCGATGTATTCTTGTGGCAGGTGTCCTACTGATGCTGTGTTGCCCTCTTCCTTTGTTTCTCTTTTCACTGGTTGTAGCATCTTATTGGTGTAGCAGTATCCCTTGTTTTCCATCACTATCTTGTCTGTTGTTTTGAGCAGCTCTGCCACCTGGAACTTGTTGCTCCTGTATTCATCCTGTTGGTTGTTCTTCCAGTGTTTATTATCAACCACGTGGCAATGGCCACCGCACCTCATCACCAGATCACTCACAACCTTATTATTGTGGACAAAATCCTCAATTGTCTGTCCTTCGGGCAGTCGCTCGCCATGAGTGAAGACAACTGCTGCATATTTGAAGACTTCTTCGGAAAAGTATTGGTGTATTTTTTTGATGACAGCTTGCTCCTGCTCAGAGAATTCCTCCATGTTAAGCACAATGAAAAAAGCATGAGGCCCAGGAGTGCACTCTGAGAAACACTTCACTATCTCGCGCTTTAGTTCCTCCTCAGTGGAGCTGAAGTCAAAGAAACCAGGAGTGTCAATCAGAGTAATTCTCCTTCCATCAACAGATTTGGATGCTGCTTGACATTCACTTGTTCCACTGATGGAAGTATGATTTATCTTGAACACATCCTCTCCAAATATGGTGTTTGCAAGGCTGCTTTTCCCAGCTCTAGTTTTTCCCAGCAGGACAATCCTGTATGTTCTTAATACTAGAAGAGAATAATGATAAAAACAAAAAAGATGTCTACAAGTTATTTAACAAATAATTGTAATTACAGAAAAGGGAGGGCGCTGATAACATAAATACATTAATATTACTGACGAAGGCTTGAGTGAAGAATGCTTTGCACTTCTTTTATTTTTTTGTCCCAAGTGGCTATGTGCACATTTACAGCCTGATTGTGAATATTTATCTCCATATGCTTAATTTTCATTCTAATTTTTAAAATCCTCTGGGGCCAGATGAAGATGTGTACATAGAAGAAACATGCATACGCCATTTCCCCCACCTAAACTGGTATTTCGAAATGTGTGTAGTGGTAAGAATGTGCCCACCTCATGCATACTTTAGACGTACAAACACTTATCTAGAGCCAGCTGTGGAATGATATGATTGGAAGGAGATTTGATACAAGAGGAGAGATTGTTTGCCAACCACTGATTGTGTTGTGACTCAGGAGTAAAATTTGAATCAAACTTAAAGGTCCAGTGTGTAACATTTAAGAGGAGTTGTGTTCTCATTACTTTAGAATGAGTTGGTTTTTATCTACAGAAGTCGCAGTTCACCTTCCGTGGAAGTCGGCATATTGAACCGCAATTGTATCGGCCAGAAAACACAAACCAAATGCTGGTTCTAGAAAAGACCTGTTTGTATTTTTTTTGTGGATTTTGTAGCCACTGTAGTTTCTCCTTCATGCTTGGAAGGGGCAGGTGAAGTGAGGGAGCTGCAATCTGCAATTACACCGCTAGATGCCACTAAATCCTACACACTGGACCTTTAATATTAAATAATTGTTTTTGTATTTACACTCAAACCAATCTATGTCGATAATCATCTTCATTTTATCCTCAAATGTGTGAAGTCTGTTTCAAGCTGTGTACATCTGATAAATGTATGGTGCAGGCATTGGAAATGACTACAACGACTTGTCTTGATCTTGGACTGTACCTGACAATAACTCACTTGAAAGTAATTCATTTCTTCTTCTAAATCTATGTTTTTACCTTTGATGCTTTTGCCAGCTCGGGCTGTTCCTGCAATGACAATCCTCTTTGGTGGCACTGCAATAAAAAAAAACAGATAAAAATAAGTGATACTGAACAGCCTCTTTGATTTTGAAGATGTAGGCCTTTCCAAGAAATGCTTTTCATGAACATCACTCAATCACTGTGAAAATGGAGTATAGCTGCTTTACCTGACACTGTTGCCGTTGTTCCTCCTCTTTCACATAACACACCTCCTCCTTCGGCCTCTCGTCCTGGTGGCAATATCGCTGCATCTTCGTCTACTTTTCCCTCTTCTGCTCCTCCTCTCGCTCCCCTGTTTTCCTGCAAAACTACAACAGTGGGCCCAAAGAAAGCTTTCGCCAGTGATTCTGCTGCAGGGCCTGTCAATTTGATCCACATGTTCTTATTGCTGGTCTCTTCCTTTGGCATGTTTCCTGCAAAAGATATCATGGTATATGTAAATTTGGATTTTCTCTAATAATCTTTCAAGGGTTTTGGCTAAGTATAGGTTGGAACTAAATATACTATATACTATTAGATGGATTGCTTCTAAATTTTGTACTGGTATTCATTTCCAACACTTACCTAATATCTACAAAATGACATTTCCCTCCAGCCTTAACTTCACTTTGTGCTTGCCAAAGTTCGGCATGCTAAAATTCTAAACAAAGATTGTGAACAACATTATACTGCAACTGCCAAAGGTCAATATGGTCATGGTATGCATGTTAGCATGCTAACACTAGGATTTAGCTTAAAGCACAGCTGTGCCCCACTACAGTGTCAGAGCTGCTAAGTTGGCTGTTAAATACTATTGTTATATTGTATCAGAATCTCTATCACAGTTTGTTTTTTTCCTCTCACAGTGGATTTGTACGGAGCCCCTAAGTCCCCAAAAGGAAATATTTTTTATCTTGTGCACACAAGGTAATTTACTATAAATTCATATGCATCTCTAACGGCTTCAGATGCACACATAATGGAGAGAACTCATCTTATCGAGTTTTATTGCTGCTCTTGTGAAATCTGAATGTCCGTCAGATTCTGTTTAGAGAGGCATGGACACTAAAAAACGAGCGAATAACAAAAAGCTATCTTTCTCAACTATCTTATCAACCAGCTCACCCAACAATAACATAGCAAACTGACTGCTTAAATAAAGCAATGAACACAGCAATGTTTCAAACATAGTGGAGAAATCAGCAAACATATGCCTATAAAGCTATAAATGCAACTAACCCCTGTGGTTTTCAAAGCATAAATTATCCCAATATAAGTAACTTCAGCTTACACAAAGTCACAGTCATTTTTAGTGCTGGCAACAGTACTGTAAATAAAAATAACTACATAGTTTTGTTTACTACACCATACACATGCACAAGGCCAAAGAAAAAGATTTTTATGTGACAAATCCAACCATGTCATACTGACAAATCTATACTGAAGTGAACATGTTTGAAAATAAAACACTGGCATTCTTGAGTGGGGTTCTCCTAAACCTCTACAGCATAGATTCTCCCACTTTTAGGCATCCCTGCAGCTGCACTCCCTCCTCTCTACTCTGGGTTAGTGAAGGAAAGAGAATATGCTCTGTGCTGACATCTAGAGGTTGATGAAATATAGTGCAGTAGTAGGCCTACGTCACAGCTTATTGTTTTTTTGGTGATTTAAGTTGCAGTTTCATTTTTAGTCAACACCCCTCTGGCCCTCCTTCTCTCTCTCTCTCTCTCTCTCTCTCTCTCTCTCTCCCCCCCTTATGTTGAACATTCATGGTCCGGGTGTGTTGGGTGAGAGGAAGTCATGCTTCGACAAAATAATATGTATTTACTAAATACTATTATTAATAAGGTATTAATCAACATTACATTTAGCATGAATGTTTCAGACATATTTCCCCCATTTGCCATCTAAAGTAGTAGAAACTAGTTATGATGACTTGAATTCTTTTTTTTTTTTTAAAGAGAAAGTGAAAGAGAGAATTATTGATTAACACAACGGTAGATGTTTCACAAATGCCAAACATATGACACACTTGGCTAGTACCTTTTACATAAGCCAGTGATTTGATTACAATAGCCTATCCTACAACATGTTTCTAATGTGAAGGATGTTAGATGTTATGTCATGTTAGATTAGTATACTGTAAACAAGTGTAATCAAATAATGATAATGGAAAGAAGTAACCTTAACTTACCATCCATGGTGGTTTAATCTTCAGTGAAAGATTAAAATACGTTTGGCTCAAGAATTTCCCCCTGGGATTATTAAAGTATTTCTGGACCAGACTGACATCCTGTGTGTCTTTACTCGTGTGCTCTGACTCTGCTTTTGTTCTAGTTTCTCTTTCACTTGCTGTCACATGCAGTGTTCTTTATATAAATATATCTTCAGAGTTTGAGCGCCATTTTCACTTCCTGACTGCACAAAGCGAATACGTGCTGAATTTATTTTCATCAAATGAATTTGCAGGCCTTACTATTCAGCTTAATATCCATCATGAAAATGCACCAAACAAAGTACCACTGCAAGCTAAAACTTTATTCGGTCTGATAGCATTATTTCCAAATGTATCTCCACTACAGAAAGTGTTGATTTACATATGATGCATGGATATCGTCATTATCAGTAATATAACATGACAAAAGTGAAAATGAAAAAAAAAGAAATATCATCTGTCTACATTGACATATTAACTTACAAGTATTTAAACTAATCCTGAACATTTGAATTTCACTGAAAATCACTTATACACACAGATATCAAGAAATTACACAAGAACAAGAGGTAAAAGTAATTTTAAAACTGAAAGACCATGAAGTGCAGAGAAAAAAGTGGAGGATAAACCCTAACCCTTAGATTAGAGGACAGTGAATATTGTTACCAGGGGAGACTAAAAAGTGATGAACATGGCTCAGACGCACTTGTTGCCATGGTTTGTAACTCTGAACTGAAAAATTAACGAAAATGTAACTTTTTAGTGTTATTGTTTATATTTGCTTTGGTGATTGTAATCTACAAAAACACCACAAATCTTTTTTTCCAGGAGATCAGAAGGCCCGTCAAACAAAGTGAATAAAATCTGAAGCTCTGACAAGAAGTACAACATATTGCATATTACATAGAAATACAAATGATCAGCTTAATGGTTAAAGATTGTTTAGAACAAGAAACAGGCAGACAGACTTTTTAAAGACAAATTATCTCCCTTTTCTTCAATAGTCATGATTCATTATAGGATTTGATTTTGTTTTAACTTTGGTTGTCACACCCTGTCCATAAAATCATGTGCATCATCCAGAATAGACTGGGATTTATTCTTGACAGCCTGCTGCCTAAACTGCATTATATTCTGTAACACCTCCCATCACTGCTTCTGCTACAGCAGATAGCACTGTAACTGTGATAGCAGGTATTGCTCCAGCTGTTACTGCAGCTCGCCATACAGCTCGTCTTACAGCTGCTACTGCAACTCCTCCTGCAGCTCCTACTGCAGTTGCTACTGCAGCTGTAGTAGCAGCTCTTCTTGCAACTCCTCCTGCAGCTCCTACTGCAGTTGCTACTGCAGCTGTAGTAGCAGCTCTTCTTGCAACTCCTACTGCAACTCCTCCTGCAGCTGCTACTGCAGCTCCCCCTGCAGTTGCTACTGCAACTCCTCCTGCAGCTCCTCTTGAAGCTGCTACTGCAGCTGGAGTAACAGCTCTTCTTGCAGCTGCTACTGCAGCTGGAGTAACAGCTCTTCTTGCGGCTGCTATTGCAGCTGCTATTGCAGCTGCTATTGCGGCTCTTCCTGCAGCTGCTACGACCACAAAACAGAAAGCTAACACTGCACCTGTAACAGTTCCTGCCAGTGTTTTTAGCATCTTAAATACTGAGACCTTAGCCTGCTCTCTGATCACTTCCTCTGACATGTTTCCTGGTAACAGTCTCTGGTGCTCCACTACTTGTTGTATTTCCTCCTCCTCTGCTTGAAGCATCTCGTTGGTGTAGCAGCTTCCATTGTTTGCCTCAGTCATCTTGTCTATGGACTTAAGTGGCTCCTCCACCTGGAACTGGTTGTTCCTGTACTTATGCTTTGGGTTTTGTTTTGTCTCTGTAACTGTCTGTTACACTGAAAGAGAATAATGTTCATCAATAATATTTTACATTTGACTTTTGCTCATTTTATCTATAAGATACATGTCATGAAAATCCTCAGTGGTCAAAAATCACAAACGAAACAGAAGTCAGTATTTATAAAATAGCTGCATTAGCATATTACAGTGAGAGAATGAAGAATTGTTACAATGCATAAAAAGAGGCCCATGATAAGAATATTAAAGATGAAGAACACATGATCTATCTAATCTCTTCTGACTAATCATTGTTCAACAATGTACTTTAAGTTAATCTGTTGTGGTAAAGTTGCCGTCAAATGACTTAAGCGAAGAAAGTCAATCAAAAAAATGTTTTCACATAGGATACTTTTCACTCTTACATTTTGAAAACTTCAAGCAAAGTCATGAAAAAGAGCAGCTCTGCAACACCAGCAGGCTGATTTTGATTGACTTTTTTAATACATCATATTATGATTAAAAAAATCAAACTAAACCAAGACAAAAATAACAGAAATCAGTTAACTTACCATCCATGTTATCAAGAGTGAAGTCTATAGCTGTGGAGCGAAGATGATTCTGAGTAAAGACTACCTGCGTATGTGAATATGTAAATTGGACATACTCTCACTTCCTGATTTGTCATTTCCATTTTCTAATGGACAAGAGCCAGAATAGCACACCTTAGGCCTACCTGTCTGCTGTCTTTTTCCATTTGTCACTTTTATTATTATAGGCCTATCTGCCCCTACTGCATCTCTACAAAAAACCATACAGAGACAATTTTAGTCTTTTTTGGGTTAAAATGCACTTTTCGTTAAGAAAGTCATATTTCTGATCTGCATGTACAGTGCTCCTTAAAGAGGTAACCCTAGTCCACAGTGTCAGTATAGAAAACAGTGCCTTCTGCCACCCATTCATTTTATTTATTTGCTCAAATGAGTAACTGGACAAATCTTTGTCAGGCTGTTTTGAGAGTTTTCATGTATAACACGAGAAGCTTCCTTATCAGCAGTATCTCAGATACAATACATTACAATATATAAATACATTTCTTCCCACTTTAACAACTTCTCTTCTGCTGTTAACCAGTGATCCAGTGTGTTGACTTCATTTTATTTTGCCAGAATTACAAGCTGACTTTGTTTTTGTCACACCATTGTGTAAAATCCCACATTTAGATCATTTGTCATATTTGTGTTGCACATTTAGCACAGGTCAATTCAGATTAGAGGTTAAACATTTTTATTGCAGATATCTGGGCCTATATAAGCATGTATACATACTGTAAGTGAGTTTTTGTTGTGTTTGTATGAACAGGACATCTCAATTCAGCTTTTTAC